ATGATCATAAAATTAACTAAATTAAGCTCCACCGATTCTGATGATTCCAGCTAAATTCCAGCTATTGGGATAGAAATATTGAAAAAGCCAACATAAATTAGAGATAGGTTTTGTTATTGTAATACGTTGTTATCAATTTTGTTTTGCTTGTTGTGTTTGTACTACTTAATTTTTACTTGTTTAAATTTGAGATTTTTGTTGCATCAATCCAGAAGTAATCATATCAAGGCAAAAAAAGAAACAAAATGTAGGGTTATTAGTCAAGTTATTTTCTCAAGTCACGTATAAAACAAAACACTATCAATTTTCTGACATATAAGCCTATATTATAATTTTGAAAATGGACCACTCTGTACATTATATATGTGTTTAATAGAATATCTTATTCCGATTACAATGATGTAACACACTTTATATTTTTATAATCTCAAAGAGTGTCGTGACTGACAAGAAACACTAAAGCAAAAAATCCTTTAACTATTCTGAATACTACTATATGTGACCGCCATTTTCCTGAACATATTTCTTACATGCTCTAATTGTATGATTGTGTTTTGCATATAGTAACGTCCCTTAACTGTTTGATTTCCTCTGAAATACTTTGTCGAAGTTCCACTACATTATTACAAGGAGTTCTGTGCACGTGATTTTTGAAATGTCCGCAAAAGAAAAAATTCATTAAAGTTAAATCGGGTTTGTTCCCTATCCAATCCCTGCGGTATTTTACTTAAAAGAAATTAACTTGCACAACATTGTGAGTGGCACCGTCTTTCTACCATATAATATTTAGGGCCAAATCTTCTATATATTGTTCTATCTATGACACCACACCATACATTAATTGATTGGTATCCCTTGGTTTTTATTTCGTGTATTTGTCTAGGATTATTTTGTCTATTACAACCCTTTCTTGTAGTGAACGAACGTCCATCATTCCATAAAATGTTTTTCAAAAATTTATTATTCTCATTATGTCTCTTAAAACAATCCAAATAAAACTACATCCTGATTTGACATTGTTTTGCACTTAGTTTTTGAGTTTTACGCAATTTAAATGCATTATATTTATATTCTTTCAAAACTGAATTGATCCCCGAGAAATGCCTGTCTTTCCATATACTCTAGTAATAGAGACACTGGATGTGCTTCATGGAATCCTAGTATGTTTGCCTTATTTGCTTCATTTATTCCGGCATACCTTTTTACCGTTTTCTGCAAATTTCTTTGCCAGCCTTGGAAATATCTGTGTTACAGAAGCTCAGCGCTATGGACGAAGTCTAATATACTGCACTTTTATTATCCAGAAAGTATACTCGAAGCATATTACTCCTTGCACGGATTCTAAATTCACGAAAAACCATTTTAACAATAATGACTTCGACAATAACTCAACCATCAACGTGTTTACTAATATGTCAAACATAAACATATTTTTATTTGTCAGTCAGGGCACTCACAAATTTCCTATTTTTACCGATTTGTCATAAAAGAGTGGACTAAAATATAAAGTGTGTAACATTATTGTAATCGGAATAAGATATAATATACAGGGTGTTCCGTTAAAAAAATATTATGTAGGCTTATATGTTAGAAAATTGATAGTATTTGGTTTTACACGTCACTTAGAAAAAAAACTTGGCTTTGATATCGGTAAAAACAAAGAAGTTAGAGCCAATTAAAATGTTATCAAGATGAATTGAACGCACCGTACAATGAAAACAGGGTTAGATAATTTGGAGAAAATAGGAATATACAAAATGTTTTTTAAGAACCTGCAAAATTTGAAATATATTTTGAACCTACAAAAATGGGTCTTTCCTTTATAATGTGGAACTGTGTAGAAATCAAAAAAATAGTTTTTAATAATTTTTTTATTTAGGTAAGTAATAGGTCGAGTTTAAACTTATTTATTTAGGTTTGTGCTGTATTTAAAAAAAAAACGTATGTCATATTGGACAAGTGCTTTGCGATTTTGGGATGAGTAAGTTTGTTATTAGACTTAATTATTTGGCAGTGACTATTTAAAAATAGTGTTTTGATTAGTTTTTCGGTAGGTACTTATGTATTCAGAAGAAAAAAGGTATTGAATACAAAAGCACTTCCTATGTTGTGGTGTTTTACATTTATGCAAGAATAAGACAAACTTTGTACTGTTATCTATAGAAAATAAATGGAACATTATTTGCGATGATGAAAAAGTTTTGTTCCTAGACCTGTAACGAGAAAGCCATAAGTACAAGAAATGGTTTAGAATTATAAAAAGAAAAGATTTTTTATAATAAGTCACATAAATCAAATTTTGCAGTTATTCTGCTTTCTTTTAAATTTTGCATAAAAATGATCGAAGATGCCATCTAATGGGTGGTTTTTAATCATAGTGCATCCTACCAGGACACCATAGGCGCTGCATATATTGTCCAGTTCTTCCTTAAACTCTTCAATATTTTTTTCACAAACTGATAGACGAAAAACAAAAGCCATCATATACAGGTTCCGCTTCCCAAATGCAACAACAGAGGTGTAGGGCGAAGGCAGTAAAATTAATTTCACTGCCATGTGAAATTTATAAGTAAAATCATGGTACGCCAGTGATAGGGGAAAATTTTAATACATTTTTTATGTTGAGCAATCAAAAATATAACTTTTTTGTCTTTTTGCTTTTTTTTATCTAGGTTAGTTAAAGAAATACTACAACTAATGAGCAAATAGAAAAAACAAAAAAGATCGCAAATAAGCATATCCAGTTTTATGAAAATCGTTGTTAAAACTAAGCAAGAAACTTAATCTTTTGTTACATATATCCCCTTAAAATCTCTGCATTGATTGCCGAAACACCCGGTATACCTATCATTCCGTAAACTTTGATATGACATTCATTTAGCCGTAGCATAACACGGAGATAATTAAATTGAACGAAAGCGATACAGTCCGAGAAAGTAGGAGACGACGACGCCCACGAGACAAAACAAAATCGTTTTAGCAGAACGAGATGATGTTGTTACGCAATGATCGCAAACGGCTCGCGTTAAAGAAACTATGTTAAATTCGCAAAATTATTGCGGTGTCGTAAAATTCCTCGTACGAAATGACATTAATTTATGTCGGTTACGAACCGAAACTGGGCTTAGCAGTTGTCCGTGTGAATACAATGCAATAAGGAGATAACGTTACGTAAAGATGAGAGTAAAAGTGAGAAAATCCTACGCCGAACTGCCCGTTTCTAATTAAAAATGATTCGTTGCTTATGGTGAAAGGACATCTATGCCCAATGGTATTGGAAGAAAACAATAAGTGCGTTTCCATCTGCTGCAATAACCCAAGCCAGAGGCACCAAGAGACTCGACTATAACGGAGCTATCACAGAGACGGACAAGCCAGTTGCTAACTCTCCTAAATCTTAATCTTAAAATTGATCTTCTGTCTTCAAACACGCGACAGAACAGATTAGCGATATTTCTTAATTGTTTTGAATTAACGTGTATCTGATATGCAAAACAGATGAGTTTTAGAAATTTTTAAGTTTACTCCTTAAAGTATATTTATAAATTCAAAATCCACATTTGTGAAGGACCAAGTAAAACATCCTATCTCTTAAACTATTGAACCACAAGACACGGGATCATAAACTTCTTTGTAAATAATGTACCAAAAATATACAGGGTGTGCCCGTTATTGGTAAAAAATTCAAACCAAACGGTCCCTTTTGTATTTTCTCATGTGATACAGGCCAGGATATTCCCCGATCTGCTAAAATGTGCAAAAAGTTAATGACATACTTCAATCGACTTGAGATTTGTGGCCTGCAGGAATTGTTGAAATTTTTTTCCCCCATTTTGGGTTCCAGAAAAACAAATTTCTCGAAAGTCATTTATCTGATTAAACCAGGAAACACCGGACTTTTTTGATTTCGTACAGGATGTACAGGAGATGTACATCATAAAAAATGGATAATTCGGTTTAAATGGTATGTCGAGAGCTACAATTTTCATTCAGTTATAAATCGCCATTTACGCAGAATATCTTAATATTTTTATGAAAGTTTGAAATGACTAGTTCGAGTGCCAATATGTATGCCATTTTATATAGGGTGTAAGTACAAATGAATTTATACATATTTCGCTGTAGGCCACGATAAAATAAATAAGACTCATGTGTCGTTATTTTGCGAAAATGGTCTAGTTCGCCAGCATACCCGAAAGAGCAAATATTTTAATCTGTTAACTTTCACTAAAGAATTAAACAAATGTCCAAGATGAAAATGAATCGATAAGCATATTTTTATTATCCACAGACTTAGGAAAAGCTGCCCGAGCAGCGACTATTACTGTATTTTATTTTACAATGTACTTCGATATTTATTATAAATATTTGTTAAAAAAATGCTTTTATTCCTGTGAGGAGGACTTAAGCAATGTGATCTTGCATGTTTTGTAGTAGGTGTATGGTGTTTATGCTACCGCCTTTTTATCTTGTCTTAAGTTGTCTCCGCTATCGTTTTTTTTTTGTTTTCTTAGAATACCTTTTAACATTAACTTTTAAACTTTTAAATTTTTTAGAAAGTCATCTTTATCTTTATCTGACTTTATATTTTAAGTGTAAAAGCACGGGTATCTATAGTAATCTACTGTTCCAGCCTGGTTTTGTTAAAATCGTTTCCACACAAACACTGCAAAATTATGATGTGTGCTAAAATATTTACTTCAATAAGTTTGGACTTACGCACAAAGGGTCAATAAGACTCATTCATAATCTGTCATGTAAATGGGTTTTACACTTGTAGGCAAGAAAGCTGTTATTATTATTGTTATTATTATTATTATTAGTATTATCTCGGTTCGCTTTTATTTTGGCAAGTGCTTATTCCAAAAATTGATTAGCGTGCTCACAGTCGCAAATATTTTCGAAAAACGTCCGCTATTTATCATTTAACAGCGAAGTTTCGTACACCCAATTGCATTATCGCGTTCGTGGTAATTTCCGATCGCAATAGTAATTATTATTGTTGTTTATATAATAAGCGTTTTCATGTTTATGCGCGTGTTCATATTTCACATATCCACGTGAGGGAATACTCGCGATTTTTAACGCTTCAGGAAGCCTCTGGCACAAAATGACGTCAATTTTGGTGATTTCTTCGTTTGCTGCTATATTCCTATTTGTAGACGCTAGACCCGCGTTAGATTCTAGTAAGTGCTATATCGCGTACTCTATTAGCACTACGCTTACAGTTATTTTGCAGGTGACAATAAGTGGTGCAATACGTTGAAATGTCCGGACAATACGGTCATGTGTCAGAAACGATACGAAGTGTCTAAAGACGATCGGTCGGTTTTGGACGTGGAGATTCGCTGCTTCAATCAAAACAGTAAGCCGTGTATGTGTGTATGTGAGTCAGTATAGTGCTTTTTTTTTTCGCAGGTGAATTATTAAAATCGGAGAACAGTACTGAAGAGAACCCATTCGGACCGGGAGTCTACATTAGGGGCATGAAATTGTCGGCAGTTTTTAACCAGATACTCACCGATACCGATGACTACGATCCCCAAAAAGAGACGGAAAATGTGAATAAGAAAGAACCGAAAAGTGAAGTCGAGGACCTGCTTAGTAAATAAATACCAATTAAGATTTTAAAACGTAAATTTTTATTACACGTAAGTTTTAACAATAAATGGGAAAAAATGAAAATTACGATTTTTGTTACTTTATTCCCCGTAGTTACATCGATATTGTAAGTTCAAAGTCAAAACCCAGTATTTTGTCACACCCATCTTAATTCATATTATCATATCATTTATAGTTGCTCCTAAAAAAATATTAAGCTTCATGCGTGGTACTACCCCTGAATTCCGCCCTAAATTGAAAGCAATAAACATACGCTTTCATTTTCTTTACATACAAGGATCGGCACCCATATAGCTCGTTTTGCTCACAAAAAGAAAACCCTCGAATTGACCAATTGTTGATTGTTGAACGTCGCAAGGTTTTATTGGTCAAAAGCGAGATTTAAAATGACAAATCTTGTTGGTTGAAACCGAATTTCAAGTTACCCTGACATATACAAAGTGAATGTGCCTTTTAAACAATTGTGTCAGTTTATAAAAATTTTTATAATTTGCCGCTTGTTTTACCGCGCTTCCACCAGATTGTGGACAAAAATATGCTCTGGAACAAAATTAAGGGGTGTTAAAATTTTCACTTTGAGTTGAAACAAAATTTGTAACTTATTCAACTAAATATTTTTATAATATTTGAATTAATTTATTTTTAAAATAATATTTTCCCTTCTCGAAGTTCTTATGAAGCAAGCAATGATTGATTTTTTAATTTCTCTTTTCTATCCTAATCGAAGCGAAGTTCTGTTAAAATTTGACAATTATTGAATAAACGAAAAATCTTGGAAAGTCATCTCTCAGTAACGACGAGGCACAATTTCAGCTACAATAAGAAGATTCATCCGTTAGTTTTCGACATATCACAAGTTAAGGTCAAAGTTCAAAAAGTAAACTTTAACCTTGATTCTATAAAACCACGTCTAACGGTTTATGTTTTTGCAGCACGCGTGGTGTGGTCTATAAGTTAAAAATTCTTAAGCATCTCAGAAACGCATCTAACGCAATGGGTACAATTGGGTACATTTGTCTTGCCGTGCTTTTAGTGCCGAATTGTCTCGGTATAGGTGAGCCTCTAAACATTTGAGAATCCTTCAAAAATTGTTCGGTATCAGCATCATTCCTAGATTACTTTTATTGTTACAGCAGACCCTGTCCAGCACAAACAACAAAATGCCAAAGATTTTTAAAAATAGTGTCACCTTTAGCGGCTGAAGTGACCATCAACTGCTTAGACGATTCAAGTAAATATTCGCACTATCCAAGATTTTGATGAAATTAATTAAGGTAAGTAATAATTTTTTAAACATATTTTAGATGCATTGTTGGATACGATTGTGTTCAGAAAAGCGCTAAAACTTTTCACTCACGATGACAGGATAGCGCAAAAAAAGGAATTCCTAGAAAAAAATGAAGAGTCAAACGATGAACCCGAAAAATTGAACTTGACCCTGGACGTTGAATGAATTTAGAGCATAATATTAAATACACAAATAGTCCTTGATCTAAATTGTGTTTTGTTGCATCAATAAACATGATCCAATACTGAGAAACGATTATTATTGTTATCAATAACCCAGACACTTATTTGACACTACTAATGTCTTCGATAACATTTCCGTAGACAGTGTAAATTCATGCAACTTTGGCAACAAAAGGCGCTTCGTATATTTATTGTTTTTAACAAAATTTAGTGAATTAAATTACATCAAATCATTATCTATATACGAATAGAGAAAACTACATAATATAATATGACTTATATCTATTACATATATAAATGATAATACAGGCGCTTTCGAACCAACATTAAGGAATTTTCAAAAGGGGCATTTGCAGTTTCAACCAATAAGACCTTGCGACGTTCGACAAGCATTATGGCCGCTGACAGTTGATTAATTTCGACAAGATTACATAACAATTGCAGGAAAGAAAACTAATTAAGTGCGTGGCCATATAAAATGGCTCAAAAAATAGGTTAGTGTGTTGGACATGTGCACACTACACAAATGTCATAGCTGCCATGGGCTGATAGTGGTTTGTTAGTCAATTCGTCTTCACTTAATGGAAATGTAAAACCCCAAGATCCGCCTATGTTTTCGCTTATTTTGCAAATTATTTATATTCTCCGACGATGTTCGTGAACTTGTGACACTTTTTCTTATAAATAAATTCACAATTCTCTAGAAAATCCAGCGAAGGCTGATACGCACAACGATTTCATTTCGAAGAATCGAATTGCGAGTTAGTTTCTTAGAGCGCTGCTAAAATACCTGTCGTTTACCTCATAATTAAAAGTCTAAAATGAAAACCGCTGGACTGTGGCTAATGCTATTGATCGGATTTGCCTGCTTTAGTATTTCTTATCAGTACGGTAAGTAATAATTTTTAAGGGTTGTGCCAACCACTCAACGTTCATTGTACTCTTTCCTAAAGACGCCTATGTTATTTTTTCCGGCTATTTTTTTAGTTCTGGATAGTGTGACCTGTTTTGATAAACCATGTCCCAGTGGAACAACAAACTGCAAAAAGCAGTCGAAATCAACTGCCGATAAGAGACGACTGCAAATAAAAATAACCTGTTTAGATGAATTCGGTTAGTGGTAGATAGTAGAACGCAAATAAAAATAAGCGAAATTCGCATCATTTTAAGAATTGTTACTTGATACTATCAAAATCACATAATAGGTATGCTAATATTATTTGCAGATAGCAGTTTAAAAGAATATCATTACGAAGAAGCAAGTGCTTTGGATCCCCACACTCACTACCAAAGCACATCTTTCCAGTCTGCCCAGTTTCAACCTTACAGGCGAACGGAACCGGAAAACTATTACTACGGGGGCGAAGACTTTTTGTAAAATAAGATTCGCTGAACGGTTGCTATTTATTTTGTATTTATTTTTTATAATAAAGGAATTGAATAATTGTTTCCTGAGTTTGATTTTGAATCTGCAGACCTCTTAACGGTAAAATACACTTTTGTTTTTAAAATATCACTCAAAATATATAGGAAAATAGCACAGTACACTTCAAGAAATTGTTAGAAAAAGTCAGTAAAGAAATCTTTTCTGTTTTTAAGCGTGATGCTGCCATCTATTAGGTAAAACATAATATGTGTAGATATAATCATTATCTTTAATTACATTTTTCAATAACTTTTGTTAAACGAAGTGTACATGTTATACTGAACAAATATGAAAATGGCACATACAAACTTAAATTTATTTCGCATTATACCTATATACAGTTCGAAAACTTTTGATTGTTTATATAATAGCTTGTCTAGAAGTACCAGTAAGAAAAGCTGTTTCCGTAGGTAAGTCTCCTCCTGTTAGTCTCTGTTAATTTATCATTTTTACTATTATATATTATTAATTGGTGTTCTCCGCTCTGCTAAATAGAAAAACATCGTTTATTGAAAACGAGTGTTTCTTGCCGAATATATCAGAACAACCAGGAACGGCACATTTTCAATAACCTTCTCGATAAGCTTCCATTATAGTTCTGGCACACAAAATTAAAATCAGGCAAATCGTTAAAAGAAGTGGCACCTCGCGGTTGATGTTTGAACAAAATCGAGCCTGATTATCTGGTTGCCTAAAAATGCATTTAGAAAGGCAAAGATTTCATTTTCTCCTATATTTAGGTGGTATGGATTACTATGGGCTAAATAACAATAAAACTAGTTTCAACAGAATTATCGTTTTTATTTCACAATAGAAGATTGTCCCTAATGGGCGAATGACCTGAATACATTTGCCTACAGCAATTAAAAAACGAAGATAAAAAACTTATAACGTATCAAGATTGGCAACACTGAAGACGTCAACGAAGACGTCGAAAATAATTCACTACTCAGTAATTAAAGATTTCTGATTTTAAATTCAGGACAGCCGTAAATTGGTTTGTAATGGTGTTATTAATTAGTGTTATGTGTGGATAATTAATTAATCTGCAGCAAGTGCGTAGTTTGATATGACGTAAAATTTAATTTTCACTATGGAAAATTTGCGGTAAGTTCCAAAATCAAAAAATGCCTAAAGAAGCACTAAATTTTATTAAAGGTGATTAGCTACAACGCATTTATTTGTTGTAGGTTATATCTCGCTACCTACAATGTAGGTACGAGCGGTCCGGATCAAAAAGTTCTGGATTTTTTGTCACTTTGCAACCAGAAAAGTGATAAGTTAGCAGATTTCTACATTTTGGGCTTTCAGGAAGTAAAAGCCCAACCTCAAAATATGCTTATGGACACTCTATTTGATGATTCATGGACATATGCTTGCAAACAAGCTCTTCAAATTAGAGGCTATGTAAAAATTAAGTCGGTTCGATTACAAGGATTGCTATTGTGTATTTTTTCCTTGAGGAAGCATTTGTTGAATATTAGGGAAATTGAATCAGAATATACAAGGACTGGATTTTCTGGCATGTGGGTAAGCTTTTGCTAATTAGTTGAAGATAGTAGCTGAACACCAGTTTTTTTGCGTGATGCTGATTTTTGTTATTTTTTGTGTTTCATTTATTTCAGGGAAATAAAGGTGCAGTCAGTATTAGGTTTAGTATTTACGGTTGCTCACTGTGCATTGTGAATTCACATCTTAGTGCCCATGATCATCAACTGAAAGATAGAATTGTGGATTATAATAATATTATTAAAGACCAAGAATTTCATGTTGAAGAAACATCAGCAATTTTATACCATGAGTAAGCAAATTTCTCTAATTAGGAATAACAAGTAATGTTGAAAATTATTTTTTAGCTATGTATTTTGGTTAGGTGATTTAAACTTTCGGTTAAATGAAGAATATGATCGCACCCCAGAAGAAATTGAGAGAACCATTTTGAAAAAAGACCTGAAAAAGCTATTTGAGCATGACCAATTAAGACAAGTTATGAAAAGAGGGGAAGCTTTTAGTGAGTTCACAGAGAAAGATCCAGATTTCCCACCCACCTTTAAATTCGATGTTGGCACGAACTCTTATGATCACAAGTGAGTGTATTGATTGTTTTATTTAATGTTTTTGTTTCACAGGTATAATTTTTATATCTAGGAGGAGGCCTGCTTGGTGCGATAGAATTCTCTACTGTGTTAATTCTAACAACTATGAAAATATTACACTTAAAGTAGATCAACTCAGTTATAAGTCTCATTCCAATTATCTGTTGAGTGATCACAAACCAGTCAGCGCAGAATTCATTATTAAGGTAATTGAATGGACTTAATTTTTTTAGCTTTTGTTATAGCTGAGTTAATGCCTTATGTAAAACTGTACAATATATAAGAATACATTTGCAATTGTGCAGGCTACAGTGTCAGCTAAAATATTATTGCTTTTTTGTTTTTTGTATTGGCTTTAAGCTGCTAAAATTAGGGAATACTTAGTAACAATTTTTTGAATTTTATTCTACCTGACATTGATGGCAACCTTAGATACCACCTCAAGTAGAAAGAGATTTTGCAAGACCCAGAGGGCGTACTGTTTCATCTGTCGTTTCCGATCAGGTGTTTTCAGATTACTCCGAGTGTGTGGTTCAATTTGAGAAAATTGCTAGATGGGAAGACGGTGAGGATAATAAGGCTTACTATAAAATCACCAAAATTATTCCTCAGACAAAGGATGACTGGATTGGCTTGTATAAGGTATTTATTTCTTATAGGTATATATTCTTTATACAATTTTGTCCGTGTCATAGGAAAATTTCACATCACTGGATGATTATGTTACCTACGAGTATATAAACAAATGTGCATCACCTCTGACAGAAATCCATCGTCCGCCAAATTTGGAAAGGCCACATAAATATGAGGTGACTATTCCAGAGCTGCCAAGTCGCTGCAAAGGCAATTACTGCTTAGTATACTTTAGTCAAACTGAAGATAAGGTGAGTCATCATTTATTTAGTTATATATACTTAAACAAAATAGAAGTTTAGTTTCCCTTGTGAGCATTAGTTTACATTAAATGAGAATTTAAAAAACTTGTCCTTTCAGGAGTCCTCATAAAAGTGCATTTTCATTTTAGGTTATGAGCGTGCTGGGCATTAGCGACTCATTTCCGATAATTAAAAATGATAGTGATTGACTCAGAGGTGGAATATATTTGAGGCGTTAGACGTTTGAATAGCGCTTTAATGCGCTCAGTTTTTATTATTTTAAATACTTAATTATTTCAAAGCACAAACAGAAATCATTTATATTCCCATACTTTTGCTGGCAGCAAAAAGAAGCCTTTAGAATAAGTGGACCTTAAATTTTAACTGTGATTGTTTACTTACTTAGTCACTTTAGTAGTTAGGAAAGACTTGAAATTAAAAAAAATGTGGAAGTGAGGCCTTTCCGAACAAATGGTCATAATCTGTGATTTTAATTCATTTTCTTTTCTTTTTAAGGTAAGAAATATTGTGTGTATAATTGAAGTTTCTTGCTTATTAAACATTTAAGATATCCATCACAGTGGTTGGCTGTGAATATAAAAGCTAACATCTGATCATCCCAATTATGTAATTCACTAATTCAAATCCTTATATATAAAATAATATATATAAATATATAAAATAATAGCTTGAATATAAAAAACCTACATTAAATGACTAATTTCCATGTCATTTGCGGAAGACCCCAAAGCTTCATATCATATATGTTTTTATTGTGGTTTGGAGTTTGACCATCAAAAAAACCTTCAAATTCAGTGAGTAAATCAATTTAATTTTTTATTCCATTTGGTTTGGGGGTTATATTTTATAGTTAATTATGTATTTCGTAACTTGTAGACTTTTACAATGAAGTAATTTTTGGCCGCAGATTCCGTTTGTTGTATTCTACTTAATTTAATGGGGATCCATTTCGGCTATTATGTAGTCTTGTAAGAAACAGATAGTTCTAAAGGATACGCTTTTTATTTGTCTATTATAGTAACACCTTGGGCATCTAGACGTTCTAGTATTACCATATTCTGTAAATTTTAATTTTATTTGTACATAGAGATATTTATGATTTTATTTACAAATAATTTATTAAATTTAGCTCACATGACCAGTAGTACTTTCCGTTTTACCATACTGGCCACGTGATCCAAGCACACTCCTTCACTGACAGTTTTAATATATTAGCAAGATATAAATAAACCGCTGTATGTCATTGATTTTTGACCATCTTTATTTACTACTTTTGTATATAAAATAAATAAATATTAAACACCATTCACTAAATCTTGCAAACATAATTGAAAAAAAAGTTATTTAAAGGTAATAAAATTAAAAAAGTAACAGTCTCTTGTAGTACAATTAGTTGTTATTTATCCAGTCATTCACTTATCACGTCTGCGATTATTACTATTATTAACAATCATTAATATACATTTTTGAGGTTATGTTCTGAAGCAACTGTTGCGTCGAGTTGTATCTTTTGAGAGGTTATGCGCAATGGGACAGTATTTTGACTTTAGACACAATTCAATATAATGAATAGTTTATCTGACAGAGTAAGTGACAGTAAGGACAACAACATGGCCGAACATGGCATCAGTAAATGTAATTGTGCAAGCAGCATTTACTGTAAATATTGCCGTCATATCGGGAACTAGCACCGAACAGTTTAAAAAACACTACACAACTACCAGTTCTTAGATTGCACTTCTTACATAGTCAACTCATCTGTTGGCGTTGTTGTTAACTAAGTTTATAGGAAACATTGGTTCACTGTCCTCCGAAGCCGGGGTTCTCGGTGTCACGGGAGTCCTGAAGCCATTGAGGTCCAAACTTTCTTCCGTGATTTTCTTGGTTTTTTTAAACAATTTCTCCTTTATTTCCCTCACGGTATATTTATTCAGGAAGCAACTCAAGTTCACTATGCCTAAGGAGGCCTCTATCACGTCTAGCGCCAACTGCGTCATACCGTTCATGGTGAAGAAGTTGTATGCGGCGTTCACCACCCAAAAGCAGGAGATTATTATAATTATTATGTAAGCGCGCGACCTAAAACATTTTTTATAATTAGAACGGGTTTTACGCGGATTGACACAATTTATTGACCATAAAATACATTTTTCATTTTTTTATTACAAAATAAATCAAATTGGAAAACTTATAAACTTAAAAGCTTTGATAGGTTAGAGCAATCTACAAGTCACTAAGCAATAGGTTATTATCTTGATTCGGGTTTAAAGGCCGTCGTCGATTGGAAGTAATTCCAATCGACGACGGCCTTTAAACCCGAATCAAGATAATAGCTTATCAACGGGCCGCGAAAGCCTTAACCAATTTACTATGCAATGTAGTGAAAAGAAGTTGTAAAACCCGTAAAACCATAAATTTGTCAATCCTCCAACTTACATGAATTTGTAATGGTATTTGTTTTCGAGCCAGTCGAATATGTTTCGGTATTTAGCGTCGTTTACTTGAAAATAGTGGTTCAGTAATACCAGAGGAACGATGCTGGCCACAATAGATAGACCCATCGGTACAAAGAATATAAATATCCTCGAAGTGGTTGCTAAAACAATTCATTAATTTGGTTTGACCCTATAAACTACAAATACAGATAGAGATACAGATACAGATAGAAATTTTAAATCAATAAAATTAAAACAATACCAATACCAAAACCCGTGCCTAAAATGCATGTTTAATCCGCGCAAAATTGGGTATTTTAGAGTAGGAAGATGTAAATTAAAAATTTTTCTTTGTCTTCCAAGGCAATTTGCCGAAAAGTAACAGTTACTAAATACAAACACTTGGTTTTGCGTTTGGCATCTAAACTACGAGGAGAATCCTATTTTCCTCTTCCTCTATAATCTTTTCCATTATCCCTCTTTCTTTAAAGCGACGATGGATTCTAGGTTTTGTGTATTTTTTGCGGTTTTAAATGATTGCTGTCGCCATTTTTTCGAATTGTTTTGTTATAAAATCATTAAATTTTGAGTATTGCATGAGTCCGCTTCTTGACAAATCCGACTTTTGTAGAAATAGAATCGAATCACTGATCAGCTTCGTCGGTCATCATTAAAAAGTTTATTTGGTCTAAATTATACCACAACATGAAATTGTTCAGACATGAATAAATATGTGAAAATTATTAAAAGAATGTCGGAGATTTACGGAAAGTAACCACAGCGAAGTAGTTTTTCATATGAGAATGGAATTTCTTGGGGCCCTTACTCTCAAAACTGCATTTGTGTTGACCATAGGATTTTAGAAACGACGGTGGAACGTCAGGGATTCCGAGCTCTCCTGATAACAGCGATATCATCAACACCAAAGTCGAAATTCCAAGTGAAAATCCGACGTACCAGCGGAATCTTTGATCGTTCCTGTTATTTTCTATGCAAACCCTAAAATTAATAAATACATCACGGCATCTGATAAGTCGATCCTCAATCGTCTCTTACTTGACAATGTACAACAAATCGAGACATAATAGGCTCAACCATATGAACGACAATACTGTAGAAAAAAGAAACACAGAACCTGAAAATTGTACATTTGCTAGAGAATTCTTAGTGACCAAATAGGTGCACCCTTACCAAAAAGGTAACACGCCACCATGTTACTCTGGACTTGTATAAGCACCAGCGCCAAGAAGGTGACGCACATCGAAGTGGAGTAAAAAATGAGGCACCTCTTGTGAATGTCTCGAACTTTTAAAATCAAAAAGTAAATAGCCGCGCATGCCCCGAAGCAAATGATGGATGCTATTAACACTAAAAGAAAAATATTACAATAATTACAATTATTACAATAATTAAGCGTTCTTTTACGAAGATCTACAAAACTGTTCACATCAGTAAAAAAAGTTCTTGATACCGAATCAATGCAAAGCTGAATGAATGTGTTATGTGACTTATCTTGGCTGGATTTTAAGAATTCATTGAAATTTTTCATTTCTGAGCATTACATTGATGCAGTGAAACAAACGATCATATTCTCACCAATTCCTAGTAATAAAAAGACTACCTGTCCCCAATTACCAAAAAACATGGTGATCCTTAGAAGGAATTTGCTTTCTATTGCATACTTGTAATTCATTAAAATTTAGCATACTTACCCGGTAAATATATGTTTGGATTCGGACTAACTTCCTCTATGGGAGCCAATTCATCGCAGACCACAACGCGAGTTTGGCCCTCAGTATTCTGGTCTATACAAAATTGCCCATGATGCTTGATAGACTCCCCTTTTATTATCAGAGACGAATTGTATATCAAGCCATATTCGTCTTTTTCGTCGTCCAAATAGTATCTGAAAATACATAGTAAAGATTGTTGATTAAGAAATTGAAATTGAATTTGCTATTTTCATAGATTCTTTGCATATTATATTAAGGTACATTTTTAAACTTATCCAAGTAACTGGTCGGTTGTGTCCAAAACAAGAGCGGTATAAATTTAAGGCATTGCAGTGGTAATTCTGGTAATTGAGAATGAATAAAATAAAATGTTAAAAAATAACCGTAACCACAGTTTACATTGCAAGAAATTCACAATTAATTATCTTGAACTATGTGTTAGATATATGAACAATTATATAACATAATTATATAACATAAATTATTTTATTATTCAGTGGCAACTTGCGGGAAAAAGTAACCAATTAATCTTAACCAAAAAGACAAACTTCAATCATGCACTGTAACAAATCATTTTGAATGTGTTTGGAACTGCCCTTAAATCAAAGAATTTTTTAGGTGCTACTTAGAGTTGTATCTAATTTAGCCGAAAAAGTACTAAGTTCACTAAATATCTCGAGATTGTCGGAAGTTTCGCTCGCATCATGTAACCGCAGAGCCAATTCAAAGGCTTCGCAAAATATTACAATTAATAATTTTTGACACATGTTTCTGTATACTTACCCAATAAGCAGAATCTAATTGACCCCTTAATAATGCAAATTCCGTACATTTATCTTAGAATATTCATTTCTTTTCAACTTAAACGCTCAAACTTAAATGCTCTAAATCGGTAACCCCTATTTCTGCCCAAGCTTTATTCCCACCAAAAAAATAAGCTGGAAATATAACATTTTTTATTACATCTCCAAATCCATTCATTTTTTTGAGTAAATGTCTACTAAATTTCTCTAAAAATCTCTTCACATTAGTTAAATTAAGACTACCTTTATAGTTCACAGTGAACGTAAATTGCCAGAAATACACAAAAACAGTAGCAGATGCACTCTATTACTGTTTTTATATTTAACTCACCCCACAGTGGATCGAAGTATAAACAATTTTAATTATTTATTTTGGTTTGATATAAATATAAATCGTTCAGTTAACAATTTTCTCCTAAAAATTTTACATACAGTATGTCTGGATATGCGAAATAACTTAAAATCAATAATTGTTGTTTTTAACAATTTTTAACTGAAAATATAGTGTGTTTATGACATGCGAGGCAGTTCTTGCAGGAGGAAAAAATCGAATTAAATTTATAAGGATTAATCCTGCTTGGTTAAAGACTAATTTCTTACATCATTTCAGTTTTTTTGTTTAAATTTATGATCCAAACTTGTTACTGACAGACAGCCACCACAAAACGTTATAAAGAATAGTAGCTGGAAATGAAAATATTCTGATTCAATAAAATTTTAAAATTTCATAGCTAAAAGCAAAAAAAAAACATTAAAACAGGGAACCTGATAATGTTATTTGTTAGTGAATCATTTAGAATAATTTTTAAATAAAAAAAAATTGTTTCAAAATTTTCTAATCTTTCTATCTAAATTCTCTACTAAGCCAAAAGCGATTCTTTAGCAAAAGTGTTGTTTCGTTTGTAAAGGGATTTTTCCATTTATACACCAAGTTTTTCCAAAACAACATTAAACATTCCTGAAGTGTAATATGTTCTTCACTGCACTTACATTTTAGCAAGAAAAGTATACGATTTGATTTGATTTGATTCGTTTAGAATCAACATACTCAATATTTTGAGCCTTTATCAAGAAACTTAGAATGTGATTGCTCTTTAAACTTTCGATAATAAGAAAAGCGATACGCTCTATGGAAAATTTCACGAAATTTATTGTCAAAATACCCAAGGCAATTGACAATCTGTACTAATGAGATTAGAGGATTAGATTGATTAGATGACATGTCACTTCTTTTTAAAAATCAACCCCAATATGGGCTTATCGACCAAAATTTTTGATTTTGCAATATACACCATAAGAGAGAAGTAATTTGGTTTATCCATACAGTGTATAGGGTAAAATCCATAGTCATATAAATATTTAGGACTGAGGGAAGTTGACCGTTAAACGTACAATGAATTTTTGTTAAAACAAAAGAAGTGGGTCTTTCAAGTTAGTGCCCCCCCCCCCCCCCCCAGACGCCCATAACTCAAAATTAGAGAATTATAATTTTTTTATTTAATTTAAAAGTTAGTTAAGCTAGTAAGTTAACGTCTATTTACTAAATACATGCAGTTTAAGTGAAAAGCTATATATATTATTGGGCAGGATCGCTTTTAATCTTTGCAGATATTATTTTGGCAAGGTTTGATCTTACTAAAACACATAATTTCAGCACAGCCATTTTTAGCCTTTTTTTAAAAGTCAATAAAACTTGGAAACTCAGAATTTAAAACCATTAGCAGAAAAAATTTATGACCACAGAATTCAGAGGGAGTCTAAAAATTATATTTATGCACTTTAGGATTCCTCGATATATGTTTTCAATGTGCCACAACTTGTAAACTTTAATTCTGAAAAGAACCATTTTTCTGAACGATTAAAATGAAGAAAATATTTTGCCAAATTTAACCAATATAGACGTAAGCTTCAAAATTTTTTTGACACTCTGTAAGTCTCCATAAGCCTAATATAAGGTTTTCTAAAAAGAATAATATGTTTACACTGCAACAATGTAAAATTAATCAATTCAAATCAAACTTTTGAAAAATCGGGCGCTGAGACCGCGTTCGTGTGGACCAGCTAAAGAATTACTCGGCGACATCGACAGCGCGATCATAGATTGATTATTCCACTGGTTCTTTTATCTGCGCGTTTGCCGGCATTTCCTTTGCATTTTTTTGCGAAATATGAATTTTATTGTTGATAAAAGAAAAGATATTAGTTATGATTTTCTTCTAAAAGTTCTTAATTTTTGGAAGCTCTGTCTTTTTATTATTACCTAGCTATAGCCAGCTACTTTAATGTAACAAAAAATGTGAAATATTCATCGTGTCCCAGTTTGACACTCTCAAAATTGGCAGCATATTTTTATTGTCGTTGTTCTATTGTACAACACCTCAGGGGTATTTAAAAACTCCCGCTATCAAATTACATTAAATCCAGGAACATACTTACAAAATAAAACGATCTGGTTGAAAACAGTTGGATAAATTGTCGACGTACGGTCTAAGTTGGTACTGTGACGGATCTAGTTTCAGATCCGGATCGAGCCCTGTGGCATTGCTGTAGTAAATAGTAATATTAAACGTTATTGGCTGCAGCCATTGTACGCATTCTGAATCAGATAAAACCTGACTGTGATCACAGCACTTTGGTATTCGGTAGATTGGTTTTTCGTCTAACTGAAACAATACGTGCTTGAGCTACCTAAATGGCATTCCCATTTTTGTAATCTAACTTAAATTACAGTTAAAAAGTTTTGTTAATATTCGTTTAACACTTTTGCACCTTCCATACATTTATAGACTTTTAATACTCTATTACTTACGGATGATGGTGAGTCATTGTGCGGCTTTACTGAGCCACGCTCGAGTTCGTAAAAAGTGACGTAGTCGAATATGCCCGCCGCGGTAGGTCCTATTCCTAAGTATTCGATCGAATCGACTCCTAAGTCTTCGGGAAAATTGACGTAAACATTTGTGTTATTCGCAATAATGTCTGCGTCAGCTACGAAGCGATTTGGTCCATCCGTGCCAGCCCAAAACTTCAGCGAAGCCTCCGCTCCGTTATATTTCAAATTGGTTATAAATAAAGTTTTGTTGTCTATTATTACTATCGGGCCCGAACTGACCTTTGTTCTATTAAATCCATGCACTTGCGGATCCCATTCGTAAGGCGAAATCTGCAACAAAAAATATGCTAATTTGACCCATATAGAAACACATCAGTGGTGAAGGCATATTTGGTAATAATTGAGGCTGCATCAGTTTGCTACATAAGCGATGAGGGATGTCATACAGTTTTCTCGGAATAAATTTTACATCGTTACAGATATTTTCTCATTTGTAAGTTTTCTTTCCAATTTGTTGAAATTATAAATTATTCTTAAAACCAGAGGGTATAAGGTCTACTAGACTATTATGGAAACTGTTCAATAAAATAGTTCTATCAAAAATTGTGTAATTTTCGTCATACTTGTGAAACGTACCTCTGCATGTCGTGTTTGACTATAAAAACAAATAAAACGTGGAACCACAACCGGTGCTGTGCTTTATTTGCATTTAATCTCATTCTCTCGACACGAAAGTGAAGCTGCTTTTTTTATTGAGTTTACTGCTATTTTCGTATTTCTGATGAATTCGATATAAATCCAGGTATTGTTTTCAACTTTGCACAATCAGACGAAAATAGCGCAGAACGGTATCCCATTTATTTCGTCATGCTAACAAAATAAAATAGCTGAACTTTGGTGTGAACACAACGTTATCCTCTTGTGTGTGGTTATACCTGTGTGTATATTTCACGCAATTTCGTAAGGTAAACTCAGATAGATGTGGAAATACTGCGAGAAATGAAATATTAATTTTTAGAATTGTTTGTTTTAGATAAGATGGCGGTAAATTTGCCGCATCCTGTGGGAAACGTATCAGCAATAATAGATACCGGATGATTATTAGACTATTAGTAAACTTTAATGAAATGTGTTCGTCCATCGAATGGTACAATGTTTTTCGAAAATTATATGGAAGTCAGTGTATCTCGCACACAAACAATAGGCATGCACAATTAGTAGGAGATTAAGATAAATATGTTTTAAATTGGTTAAAAGAACAAAAAATATATTTCTATGTGTGGGAAGTCATCGTAAGTTGGATACCATGTCATACTCGTATACGGGTCAGTATTTTTAACGTTTATTTCCAAATAATAGCTTGCTTCCGTTTTGCAATGCATAATTTTAAACACGTTTATATATATTTTTCACCAGTGAATTACTTGAAAATACCAAATTGATTTAAAACAAATTATTTGATGTCTGGTTTTGTTGCTTCAAAAATTTAATAAGATCTCGGAATACTTTTTATTGGAAGAATTTGAGATTTATTGAAGACTAGATTCCCACGCGGTTACTGATAAATCTGGTACCCGACTTGCTTGAGACCAATCCAAATAATTTTCAGACGATGTTCCAAGAAAGAAGGTGGAAGTACAAAATTTTTTTAAAACCAATCCTAATGACAGTGACAAAGGAGTATAAAGACACACATCAAAAATTAAAGAAGAGAAAAAAAAACTGTAAATTTAAATAATAATAACAATAATAATGTTAACATATCTTTAAGCAAACCTAACTGGATTTATAGGGGATAAGTTGGAACTGTACATGTCACATTGATCCCTGGAATCTGTTATACGTTCGGCAAATTTTATTCAGCGGCGATAGTAACCAGAAAAATTAATTTTTGCAGTCTGCTTGCAGAATCAACTTTATAATTAACAAGTTTATAAATAAACTGCAGTTCTGTCGATTTACGCCTATCAGCAAGCGATGCAAATGAAAACCGCTCACATAGTAACGTTCAGTAATTGAAGATTCCACGTTGGTATTTTCTGAACGCGAACCGGCGAAGATAGTCTGGCTTTAAAAAAGTACTGGATTTTAAATTGTTTGATTCCCTTAAATAATCAATTAAATGATTAGACCATTCATTTGTTTTAAGCACTGCATTATTTTAATATGTCCGAGAAGTCTAACACTATGTAGCCTCGCTCGTCATCAGAACCCGCCCCACGAGGTTTCTATTTCTATTTTATAATTTTTATTATTTACTACGATCTCCGACATGCAGTTGCAGTTTAATGCAGTCAAATGTGCCAAATTTTACAAATAATTTTCAAATCATCAGTGTAGATCAAATACAAACCTCTATTTACTAACGGCGAAAAGAAATCTAATATGTTATTAGTGTTAGTGCAGTATGAATTCATTTACTGAAGCTAAATACCTTTTATCGTGTTATTAAGAGCAGATAGGTGTACGCACCAACAAACGATAAAGCAGAAAACTTTAAAGCAGTTGAAAACTTCTATACTAATCTTGATGAAACTAACAGCATTGCTAATACTTCTCTCAAAATCTCAAATTTACAAACAACTTCAAGAAACAGGAGTGGATGACTGATGCAATCATAATCCCAATGCGAAATGCAGAGACAAATGAAAACAAATGTACAAAAATAGCAACCCTATAGATGAAACAGTTTTTTTTTTAATTTACACAAGAATATTAAGGAGCTAACAGATAGGTAGCAAAAAGAGCACAATGGTACATTAAAAAGTTCAAACAATGAAATGAAATAATATCACCAGCAGTATTTTACGGACGTCATTGTAGAACATAGTGAGCTATATGTATGAATACGTCTAAGATCAAATATTCTTAAATAAACAAAGACACGGTACTTTAAGGCTTCATGGAGAGATCATCGGGCGGGTGTCATCTTTAAAATATCTGGACACATTCGTCAATCAACAACGCGACCCAAAACCCGAGATTAAATGAAGAATTAGTAAGCTCGGAAAGATCTCCTTTTAACAATCAAAGAGAGAAAACTACTGTACTTAACATCGAAGGTCGAAAACAGAATTCATGGGCTTACGTCTATACAAATTTTTATTAGAGCTGCGTTCTCTCGTACGACTATAGCTATTTGGATAGCATAAGGGACACGGCATCATAAGAAGAAGCATATACATATTAGTTAACATTAACAACATTACATTATATTAAAAATTATGTTTTCGTGAACTAAAAAGCACACTCATAATAATTAGAATTTGAAATTATAAATAAGCCGCCACTGGGTAAAAGTCACTATATCTGTACTTTGTTAAATATATTTGAAAAATGATGTCAAAAACACAGGTATCAATCGATAAAGCTTGATGATGTTATTTTCATGTCATAATTTTCTAGGGAAGGGTCGTTCATTTTCGTTCGACCTTAACTCTCCATTTTCCATCCCATTGAATTACTGACCTTTTATTAGGTCGTTCGATGTACTACGCGCACGATAAAATGTAAATTAAACCACCTACGGAACACCGTAGATCTATCTATCATTCGTACCTTCGATTCATAACCAGTCAATCTGGTCTCACTTCCGGACTTGCCACTACTCAACGAAGAGTCGTTCAATGCATTACCGTCAGCGTTCTGTCCGTTGACCCAAACCGCGCAAGAAACCGTAAATGCAAACCAAGTGGTTAGCATTTTATACATACGATCGCGACGATGATATTTACACACGTGTTACAACATCGTCACGTTGATTTTGGCAAACCGCGCGTTTCGTACGTTATCACGCGACCGCTAAACTTGACCGATTTAAAACTATCGCAGCGAGAAAATGCAACTACGGACACCATCACAACAGTCACGGAATATTGTTATTCTAACTAAATCGTCACCTTAATAATTGATAAGAAATCGAGAGCGTGGTTATCAGTTATCGTACCGCCATGGCACCGAGAATTTTTTTATCGATTTCGTCCGAGATAAACTGGAAATAATTTTAGGATGTGTCATGGCTGCGCCGATGTTCGTTGTGAAGAAAAAAAAAACAAATGCCGCACAGACCGATTTCCAAAACGGACGCAGGAGGCGGTACAACGCTCCTCGCCGCGCGCTGACTCAAACTATTTTATTGTAACAGTCTAAGGTCAGGGAATCCCAATTTGTATATAAATCGTACGCGTTGAGTCCGCGTATAAGCTGCCCGACACAAAGCCGGCGTATGAGGTATGATATGTATATCGTTTTCACTATTGCCAGACCCTCCCCCGTAGCTATCGTAGCTATTGTTACTAGACAAACTCAATTACCAATAACCCACAATTAAACGTTTTGACACATGTTTTTATTTTGAAAACTGATTTTATATAATTTTGCTAGACAGATTACAAACATTCTATCCATTTATTTGTATTACGTAAGATTTTTTTGAAACGAAAAAAAAAACGATAGTTTTAAAACAATTTATTTTTTTATTCAGTAAAAAAGTGGAATCCTATCATAAAATCAATAAAAACATTTCTCAGACTTTTTTGAGCGAAATCTTCATCTTGTTGCATCAATTACTTCTTTAAATGAACCCCAGCCGTTTTTCGACATTGATCATTGTATTTTGAAAATCCTTGCATAATGTTCTTATCTGCGGCCCAACAAGAATACTTTCTTTTATTTTGGCATTTCTGGCACAAATATTTGAAACACTGCCCATTTAACAAACTGCTTAATCAATCCAAGTTTTGATATGACAGTAAAACTTTTTTGGGGTCAACTATGCCATCTCTTAATACATTTTTGCTACCAGGTGTAAGGCTTGTTCTAGAGGGCCATTCTATTTGATTCCAATGTCTATCTCTTGCCTCACTATCACAAATAAAGCATGGAAATTTTGTATAACCCCCCTGCTACAAAGCATCCACCGATGTTCTTCAAAAGAAATCCTAAATTTTCATATGTTTCTTTTAAATGTACCGAATACGCAACGGAAACCGAGGTCAGTTCTTCACCATTATGCAATAAAACGCCTTTTAAACGACATTTACTTGAATCAGTAAACAGACGTGATTCTTCTTTCACTAACGAACATTTCCTAATTTTGAAACTAAATCAGTAATATGGTTGCAATACACTAGCGGTCCTTCCTGACTAAAACATTGAAATAACTCTTTTTCGCGATTCCGGTAAAAGCTTGATGTGATGCCAGGTGCCAGTAAATGCTTGTCATGAAGTTTGGACACAAACAATTCGGATGTATCCTTTGGAAGGTGCAAGTCTCTAATTAAATCATTTAATTCGCGCTTCGGGCTCTGAAATCTGAGTCATCTGGGTCGGAATTAGATTCCCCTTATTTGATAGCTCTTTTCTAGTTCTTTTGGGGCGGTAGGTATCTGGTCCACGACGAACTGGTCGCATAACAGAGTCAAGATTGAGATACACAATGTGTTTCTTATTTTTTCTGTCGAATCCTTGAACATTACACTAACAAATATAACAATCATCACTGTGATTCCCAGGCTTTCGCCATATCATAGGAACACCGAAACTTACTACGACATAACTACCACAGATCCAAATAACAAAAGTTATTTGGATTGTTCACACAATGTCTTCTTTCCATATTTATATGTTCTAGAACATTAGAGAGGCGCAACAAGCAAGACAACAGCCGGGAACACAGTAGCACGACGACCAACACAACCAAACTGCGCATAAGCAGGTTACAACGCTGAATTGACGCTTTTACACAAACTCTGTTGCTTTTGAGAGAGATCTAATATTATCCAGTGTTGCAAATCACATTTAATTTCATAAAAATCGATTAATTTAAAAATCATGCCTAACATGGACCAAGGCAGGTAAGGAAGGGTAGTCAGGTAGATGTCGACCACGTGTCGGCTGATTATCAGTGACAGTGTTCTTCTTACCGTCGCTCCTCATTAGATACAAAACAATTTGTGAAAAAAGTTTATGAATGAACGTCAGCAGATTTGTCAGTACCATCTCAATTTCTTGGCTTCGATGGTATCCATAACATAAGTAGCTATATTCAGTCTTATATCTTCATTTATTAGTCTGTCCAGTAAAGTTAGTCAACAGCACCATCTCCAATATCCCAATACTCTCAGAAAATTAAAAAGTATATATCAAAACACAAATGTGTAATTGAAATAGATGAAACTTAGATCAATACACGCGATACAGTATCCAAAGGATGGGTTGGTTCCAGTAGAAACTATCAGGCAAGAGCACCTTCAAATAAAAGAAAATGCATCACTATAATTACCGCTGGATCAGAAGAGGGATTTGATATATCACATCAAGACACAAGTGAAGGACTTTTTGAAGACTTCCTTTACAATTATCTTCTAAAAAATATTCCTGATAATAATTTTATTTCAATGTAATATATAACTATAATATATATGTAATATATAAATAATTATATAATATATAATAATAAAAAAACTGAAATTCAAGGATATTTGTTACAAAATGATATTTTATATACAGTTATAGGAATAATAGGTCTGTGATAGTTTAGCTGAATCGATGGGGCATACTGTTTTACTGTTTAAGAACATTTGTGGCACCAAGTACATTCAAATATGAGAGCAGAAATGTTGCTCCTACATTAAATACTAGCGTAATAAATTTAACTAAAAATGTCATTCATTATATACCTACCTTGGACTGGAAAAATACAGTACCAAAGATTTTAAAATTGAAATTTCTTAAATTTTCATACAGAATAATATAAAACACATTGTAAGTAATCTTAATGAAGAATCTGAGAGTTGAACAAAATGAAATCGTACCTCTTGAGGTATTTGGTATCATCGTATTGTCTATTAATACTAATGTAATTTTAATAAACCCAAATAAAAATAATAAAATATTTAGTCTTTATATTTTTAAAACGGCAAAAATGTTCTGATGCTTGCCGTCAAAAGTTAAGGTGATATACTTCGAGACAGACCATACGCAGCATTGCGTGGAATAAATTTAACAGCGCAATTTAGCCCCTTATGAATATAGACATTGTATTTGAAAATAAAGCGTGACCTAAGTTTGCGATTGTTAAAGAATATGAGAGTCCAATTAATTGGTGTTTAATGCTGAAAACCGAGATCTGTTTCCGCATTATGCTAAATGCTTCTCGAAAATGGGCATTTAAAAAAATCGTTGTAACTTTTTTTTTATGAAAAAATTTCCAAAGACCTTTTTTACATAGAATTCAACGGTTGATCTACACATAAAAGAGTAACTTTTTTTATATGGGACATCCTATAAATACATATTGGAAATTTATTTTACACTCGTCCCAAAAAGCATCGCGTAAGTGGTATACGCCTAATCATATTTCTTGTTAACATTTAATGGGAAGGGGTTATATTTAGGAATCTTTGTTTTGTTTTTGCTGATTTCACCAAATGGAAAAATCAGAACATAATGAGCAAAAGTAATGAAAATAACATTTATTTGAAAAATAAATTAAAAATGTAAAGTAACAAAATAACAAATTCCAAAGAGAATTTTTACAATTCAATTCAGTATGTAATTCAGTAATGACATCTCTTCTTATCAATTACGTATTATTATTATTTATTCTAAGATTAAGTTTTCCCATTTTTCTCTTGAAACATTTCCTAACTCATCAAGATGGCGTGGAGCAATATTACGAGCTCTTATGCATCTTCCTAGGTAGTTCCAAACATGTTCGATTGAGTTTAAGTCTAAAATAACTCTTACCTCCAATATTTCTGACTACTCTTATGTTACACTGAAGAAATCTCACCCTAGCACGTCTATCAGATCCAAAAAGTGAAAATTTTGACTCAACCGTAAAAAGAATATCAGCCTAGTCGTTAATATCCCAATTAACATGTTCTCTTGCGAACTTTAAACGTGCCACACGATGTGGCTTAGTTAACAAAGGAGCAGTAACAGGCATTCTAGCTCTTATTCCAAATTCGCTTAATTTGCTTCTAATCCAATTGATATATATATATATATATATATATATATATATATATATATATATATATATATATATATATATATATCTGAACATTACGGACTCTGAAGACAGCAGTTTGGAGGTGCCTGGCTGAATATAGATTTGTATATCCCGGACAGTTCTGGTTTTCTAAATTTTGCCATTTCAATATTTTTCCTGGAAATAGACCTAATAGTTTGCACGTTCGTGACTCGGAGTTAACCATGACAGTCTAAGAAAAAGTACAGATTTATTGAAAGCTTCTATAATTTTCTTTTGTGTGATGGTGTCGGTTTTTGAAGATAATTGTAAACTTTTGCAAGATTATCCTTAAATAGAAAACAATGTTAAATAATCTTCCAGTGTATAAATAATTTTCTGATGTGACAGCAGAAAATCATTTCTTTCCTACTTTGTCATGGTTAACTCCGACTGATTCGACATAAAGGTGGATTTGTAGAGGCAAATGCTCAGATATATCGAAAACTAGGAATATTAATGATATATATCCTCATAGAAAGTTGCCCTAGTTTTTAATTCTAAATAAGATAAAATTAACAAAATATTTTTTCTATCAGTGTGCAGCATTAGTTATTTATCGAAATTTTTAAATAAAGATGTTGAACCAGAAGTTCGATGAACTCCACTTTTGTAAAACAGTTTGAATCGATTCACTTAATGGCATCTGACCGTTAAAATCAACAAACGTCAAAGAGTACGGAGCAGAAATAGTATATTATGTAACCAGTGCGGTATTTGACTCGCAAGTTTATTTGACACGAACGGAGCGAGTGTTTAATAAACGAGTGAGTTAATAAGTTTACCTAACGTGTTGCGTACTATACTTTTTCTACGACCGTTAGTTTTTGAATACATTTTCCCAAAACAACACGAATACGTTCACTGAAATAACTGCAAGAATTGACAAACGTCAAAATTCAATGCGTGAGAAATATCTCCGAAAACATCCGATTGCTCCCAAACCGGTGCGGTAAAATCGGATCCGTGGGAAACGAAACTTACATGGTAAAGTGCCGCTTCCCGCACGCTAGATTGGTGGGTAATTAGGCATTTTACAGAAGGGATTAGAAAAAGATTAATTTCATTTCATAAAGAATTTGTTTTTAAACGCTTTTGTGTACCAGAGCCAAAAACGGCGTAGTTATTTGTCGGCTAGTGTATACTATTTCCAGCTTTGTCTTTTTTTAGCTTCCACTCATTGACAGCGAGAACGAATTGAGACAAATCGTGCATGCGTAGCGTTCCGAAAAACAAGCCGTTAGTAAGTGCCGTAGAAAACTAAACACACCGCTCGGATAAATTAGAACAAATTTTTACCTACGTAAAGCGACCGATTAACGTTTGCGTAAATTGGGCCGACGAGTGTAATTTTATCTCGAAAATGGCATAATTCATTTATTTCTTTCGCTTGAAAAATAATGCCAGTTGCGGTTAGCGTTATGTTTTCGTCAGACCATTTTGCAATATCCGCCGAGTAGCTAAATGTGTCTGTGAACGTTCAAATGTGATAACAAACTGTACATTATGCTAAAAATTTGATAAATGACACTTCAGTCACGGTTTTGGCTCCCCGTAGCGAAAGTACCAGAAAGCTGATGTTATAAACTGGCACTTTGTGCATGCCTTCTTAAACTTATAACTCGATCAGGGTTATTGAAGAAACGTGGCAATAGACTTAAAGCAAATTTTATTAAAACAAAAATACACTTGAACCTCAAACATTGCTATTAAAAGTTCATCGTGTGTATAGTGGTCTTATTTATAGCATAAAACCGCATGTGTAAATCATTTATGTTTGTGATTTCCAAATCAATTTGATTACTGGGTATTTTAGAGAAGGCACTAGAAAATAGTATATTATGCAACAAGGTTGAAGAACAACACTTTAATCACGCTTTTCCAAACTTGTGACCGGAAATTTGCAAAGCGGTTCGTGACCATGGGTAACGAAGCTGATGTGTTATTCTGTATTTTGGAGTAGGGAGTTGAAAAATGGTATTTTAATTCGGATTCGCAAAATTGATCAACCGGAACTTTCTGCCCGTTTGACGCGTTTGGAAGAAAAATATTGGAAATGGAATTTATAACAGTTTTGAATTTGTGCAGGTCTCAATTGAAGAAAATCTAATCGCTGCATGCATATCTAACGCGTGAGACAATAATTCCCTAATTCAACAATATTCAAAATTGTCCTAATATTGTTTTTATTAGTAAATTTTGTTGTTAGCGAGTTTATGCAGATACTGTTTTAAAGGCGGTAAAAAAATGAAGTTCGATTTCATATATGTTCTTTGTGTATGAAAAATTCAAAACTTTGAAAAACCTTATTTTATAATTATTATTCTTTAAATAATAATTAATTTTATTGTAATAGTAAGTTTAATGAAAAGGCTAGGATTTGAATGAAAATATAATTAGAGTCATCTTTATTTTATTAATGTATTATATTTAACATAATGTAAGAAAACATTAATCGTCGTAGAAAAGGTGTAGTGTGCAACACATTGATAAATTTATGCAGTCATTAGTTTATTAACATAGTATTAATATAACATAAACTCCAAAGTTGCATCTTCGATATCACCGTGTCTAGCAGAAACGCAATATTTGGAGCTATAGTATATATTATATGAAAAATGTTATAACTTTAAATATTGTGTCTTATTTCATTTCATAACTGATACAAATTGAGACTGACTTTATATTCTCCAAACCGTAATAATGCAAAACTACATAACGTCTATTGAATTAAAATTCTAATTTATCCTTTGGAATCCAAAGAAAAATATTGAAAATGACGATCATTGACATTGGCAACATGGTGTCAGCCCTTGAAGATATAAGATATTGAAGATATTCGGTACTTGAACAATAATCCAAACTAGAATCCTTAATGTTTTTTTCAAACAGCAAGCAGTTTAGGACAAATCCGTCTTCTGACCTAGCGTGTATTACGGTGATACTTCCTTTATTTGAAGGTGCTTTCCTCTAACTGTTTTGAGTGGAATCAACCCATCCTTTGAATACAGTGTGGTGCGTATCGAATCCTGTTTCATCAAGCTAAATTATGGATCTGTTGTCTAATCTTTATCATTTAATTTCTTGAAAGTAATTAAATCTCCTATACCCAATAACTGTAGTAATAATAAAGTTTTATTGGGGAGGGTCCATCGAAAGTTAACAGGATGAAGATTGAGATAGACTATACCATTTATACCTTCCAGTTTCACTTAAAAGGTTTAGGTAGCATATCTATGACGACTACGCCAAAGTTTTCTGGTGACAGTCACCTTAAGCAAGTGAGTGCACGCCCACCCGAATCACTTTTTGAATGAAAGAAAGGAAGCCTTCAATTAGAGACTTTCGTAAGTTCAAAATCTGTTGAAGAACTAGTAGTTGCCTAGTTGCAATTGCAGTACTACACAATGCTTTGCAGATGGACAGGACGGAGGCAAAAATGTTGTTCTAGCATTGTGCAGAGATTAAATTACTAAATTTCAATTATTAGACAGAGCTGGAGTTAATCACACCGCACCAGTGACGAGAGCCTCGAAAGAGCGTTTAATGTATTTGATCAAATGCTACCGACAAGTCAACGAAAAGCAAATTTGGCTAATCTTTCGAAAACATTGCACTCAAATTAGCTGTCCAAATTAAGATAACGACCAGATACAGCCTAATCGCGTATTTCTTCGCTGGTCCTGCCCTGATATAAATACGAATACTCATAAACTACAAACGAATTTAAACCGATTGTTATTTAGCACGGACTCGCCACGGTGGAAGACCTTCGGCAAGAATTACGGCATTTAAAGGATCAACAAAACAGGCCGACATTTTTAACGGTCCGTTGAAGACGAGCAGTTTCGTGTTCGGTTTAGGTGCAAAATGACGGCGATAAGTGGCAAATATGAACTCGTCAGCCAGGAAAATATTTACGAATACATGCTGTCGCTAGGTGAGAAATATAATTGCATATTTCGTTTCTGACTTTTGATATCGTGTTCCGAGTTTAATCTTACGTAGGTAGCAAATATCTTCCAAGGTTTTATTTCTTATTGGGTGTTGTTTATTTTATAAAGCGAGTGCTAACAATAAAATCTCAAATTTGCAATATTTGCAAACTATCGATATAATTATTGTGATAAAAATTAGAAAAATTAAATTTTAAAGATGGTGCTCAAAAAGGTTGCTTACGAAGGTAAAGTCGGGCTTACTAATGATTATCTGCACCTCGATTGTAAACATTTTCAAAAACATTTTTCTCAAAAACGGTATGTTCTAGCAAGGTGCGACGAGGGTACCTTATTTAAGTAGACAATTTGAGATTTTCAAATTCTGCAGTCCAAATTAGTTTAGAGTTATAACGTATTTTTTGAAAATATACGTTTTTAAAAATAGCTGTAATTTTTTTTATCCTCCTATGAAGATATTTCCAAAGCACTTATGTGCGTAGAATTTGGCAGTATATCGACTTTTTGTATCACTGAACAGAACTCAAAATTTAAAAAATTTAAGTTTTAATTTTTGAACAAATAAGCTGAATGGTAGAAAACAAATATATATGTTTGATGTTTCTTGACCCTCTGTTCTTAAATTTGGCCACTTTACAAACAATAAAATGTTTTTGATAGGTTGTTTCCGCTCAGGGCATTGGTCATCGTACAATTTGTTTGCTGTCTCTTCCAGGCTTTTAAAAAACAAGCTGTCATATCCCATTAAATTGAAATACTATTCTAAAAAAAACTAATAGTCTAAATCCTTGTTTCCAAATATAATAATATTTAGAATGGAGCACTTTTCTATTGTTAACTAGTAAACTTTTAATTTAAGAAATATTATACTTATACCATTAAAGCACCTCCGACATATTTTCATGGAAACACAATTAAAATTTTTGATACCAAAAACGTTCCATCGATTTTTTTAAGAATGTACATTTTTGAAAAGCACCCTATAATTCTGAAATGGTAAGAAATGGGGAACTTACCATTATGTTTTATTAAAATTGCATGCGCCCCAGAGTCTGCGTCTACTTCCTATAAAAATATCCAATTCGGCGCTGTACAGGTGTGGTTTGTGAAATTTCTTTATTACAATTGTTTAGGTAAAATGTTGACTTTAAATGGCGGTGAAACGTTTCCGCATTAGGAAAACATTTATTTCTTGATGCGAAATAAATTGTAAAGAACATTAATTTCTCAAAGAAACGTAATAAAGGCAAATTTAAAAGTGCTGAATAATTTGAGCTAAGAACAAAAATACGTTTATAAAAAACATGCTTCTTTCAAGTAGCTGACCCCTTTCTTTCTCGTGGTATCTGATGCGAGGTTAAATTATTACAAGAAGCAATCAAATTTGGACCGTTTTTAGGGTATGTCCATGTTTAAATCGAGTTTTTGTTTTTTTCTGCAAATCCTGATTTAGAAGTTTCTGTCATTAATCTGGAACTAGGAGATGGGCCAGATCAAATTTATGGGAATTAAATGGGCCTTAAAAAGAATTGAAAGTACAATCCGCAGTTTGTCACTTTTTATTACATTCCTGTCTATAAGACTGTAACCGTAACTGTAACAGATCTAATACCTCCTCCATTTGTAGAGCTTAATTTGGTAACACTTTTTATAGAAACTGATTTTGAATAAGGTGTCAACAAAAATCATCAAAAAGATAACCAAATTTAACCTTTTTTCAAATCTTAACAAATTGTAGAAAAATTAGTTGTATGTTTTTTTTAAATCTAAACCTTGTGGCCAATCCGTGCCCGTCTGCTGATATACTGATATTGATATTGGCTTGGCTGTATTGTCAGCACAGGCACAGGTGTTTCAAAAAGCATGGTCCAAGGAGTGATTCGCCATCCAAAAAAAAAAATCATGAAGCTCCCATTTTGCTTTAACTAAATTAATTGTAAATCTTAACGAATTGTATGGTCAAAGAGATGTGTGCCATTGACTTTTCGCAATTTTAGTGTGGATGCGTCGCCACTTCTTGACTTTACGTACGTAATTTTATGAACATTTATTTTTTGGTCTTGTTAACACACAAAAATTTATGTCTACCATATTAACACTCACTAAAGACAATGAAGAAAATACCTTCAAAATAAGGATTTACGCACTCTGTTACAAAAGTTACTTTTTGTGAACTGAAATAGTATAATATGCAACAAGTGCGGTAAACGGGATTTGATTCACGAGTGGAGCGCGACGGAGCAAGTTTTTAATAAACGAGTGAGTTAAAAATTTTACCGAATGTGTTGCATACTTTACTTTTTCTACGACCATTAGTTTTTGGATACATTTTCGCAAAACAACACGAATACATTCATTGACATGACCGTCAGAATTGACAAACGTCAAAATTCAAAGCATGGGAAATATCTCCGAAAACATCCTATTGCTACCAAATCCGTGCGGTAAAATTCCGGAAATGTCCGAAGTAGCTCGGATTCATGGGAAACGAAACTGACGTGGTAAAGTAACGCTTCCCGCACGCTAGATCGATGGGTGATTTTAGGTATTTTAGAGACGGGAGTAGAAAAATACATTTTTATGGGTGTACTAAACAGCGTTAGGTACACTGATTTTTGGAAAGGTTTTATTGACTACCTACTTTACCATCGCCTTTAGGACATACACTTAATAATGTGGATATAATGTTCTTTTTATTGTGTTAGGAGACACTCCAGAGAACGCCAAGAAAACTACGGAAGAAGGCATTAGTATGATATTAGAGGCGGACGAATCTAAAGTGATCATTGACGCCTTCGGAAGACGTACGACATTTCTTTTTGGACAAGAAACAACTGAAACTCTTCCGAGTGGCCATCCAATTACGGTAATTTTGACAGTTCCCTTTATTGTTATGTAAAACAAAGCTGATTGTGTGATGTAATGTACGAAATATCACATATTATCAAATGTTCAAAACTATAATTCTTATGTATCTATTTATTTTGTTGTTTACACAAAATACAATGTTTCTTCCTAACAAAGGTCTGCACTTATAATGCAATAACAGTTAAATTAAGTAAAAGTCGTTTGTGTGCTTTTAATAACAAAATAACTACAATAAAAATGGAAATTACAAGTTCGGCAACGAAACAAAACAGGACACAAAAAAACTCAGAATAACTCATGCAAACAGGTTCTAATGTTACTTAATATAGAATGCATAAAAAAGATATATGTTTGAAAATTTCGAGATCATATCTATTACAGACAGGTTATCTTGAGAATCTATTTTAAAAGTATTATTATGTTAACTTGTTCTTATTTAAGAAATTAATATATCAATGCATATTGCGCTATAAATTCGAGACTTTGAGACATGGTCCTGTCTTCAGATCCCCAGAACTCATATATCACCTATAATATTTTCAAGATATTAAAGTTTTTTTTTTGTTCACAAAACATGTTTCAGAGTACTGCTCAACTCGATGGAAATATTTTGACTATACGCACGACAATAGTGGAAGGACTCACTCAAGAGAGAGTTTTTACGTTTTCAGGCGATGAAGTTGTTGTGGTAAGCAGCAGATAATTCAAGTTATAATCCATCATGATTAAAGCAAATAACGGAAAGTGCTAGTTAGGGTTGTCATTTTTCCAGATTGTTACAAATTCGCTAGGAGTATCAGCAAAAAGGATATACAAAAAAATTTGATCTATGGAGAACTCAGTTTCCTGGTTTCGGGATATTCGTCGAAGGATTTCATTATATATATTATATTATATATTATAATATTGTCATTGTCTTGCTATATAGGATAAACTATCTGCTTACGGAGATTATGTTTGTTTGCGAGCTTTTATAAGTAGTATGTGAATAATAAATATGCCTCATTGATTTATACATTTATTTATTATATCTTCACTACATAATTTTGACACCTTATACACAAAATAGGGAAATTTAGTTCTTAAGAGAGGAACAGTTATTTATGCTGAAGAGTGTGCAATTTAAAATACAAACCCCTCTTCTCTAGTAAATCGTGGTGTGTCCCTTTTTCTGCCACCTTTCCGCCATCTATGACGCATATCAAGTCCGCGTCCTGAATCGTGCTCAATCTGTGAGCAATGGTGATGCAAGTTCTTCCTTGTTTTGCGTTGTCCAGTGCTTCCTGAACAACCTACAAAGCCAGCGAAAAATGTTTCACCCTGAAGGTTTGTAAACGTTTTCTACCTTTTCGCTTTCGGTGTCGAGAGCGGATGTTGCCTCGTCTAACAGCAAAACTTTAGGATTCCTCACCAGGGCTCTGGCAATTGCTATCCTCTGTTTCTGGCCTCCTGATAATTGAGTTCCTTTTTCCCCTAGTTTGGTGTTATAACCCTAAAAACAAATCTTTAGATTTTTCATAACAGATAATAGAGACTTACTAATGGCAGTGATGAAATGAAGTTGTGAATATTTGCTTTCTTGGCGGCTTCGATGATTTCGCCTTCATCAATTTCCCTGGAGTTGTCACCGTAAGCTATATTGTCTCCTATAGTTTTGCTAAATAAATTCGGTTCCTGAGATACGATGCCCAAATGGGACCGTAAAGAGGAGAGCGTAATTTTTTTGAGGTCGTCGCCGTCCAAAGAGACTTTTCCAGAGGTCGGATCGTAAAACCTTTCCAATAGCTGGACGATAGTAGATTTGCCACAGCCGCTAGATCCTACCAGGGCTACTGTTTTGCCTTGGAGAACATTTAATTCTAACCCATTCAAAATGGTTGCGTCCTCTCTTGTCGGGTATGAGAAGGATATGTTGGAATACTCGACATTGCCATTAGCCTACATTGAAATTGGGGATGTTACTAAAGGATTTTGCTATTTTTTACGAAATATTCTTGATATCCTTTCAATTTTAAAGACACTATGTTTTCCCTCCTTGAAATTTTATTATGTATTAGCTTTTATTTACTTGAACATAAACATGTTTACTACATCTCTGAGAAGTTTTTAGTGACCATTTTGAATCAGATACGTTAAATTTTTCTCGGAACACTCACCGAAGTTTTGTCTACGGCCTCGGGATTGTCTTTTATTTTTGGAACGCGGTTAAGGAGATTCATGATGTTTTTGGCAGCTCTGAGTCCTTTGTCCATATTGGGCGTAAATGCCAACGAATTAGCGATGGAATTGGTACCCATTATCAAGGCCTGGCATACTCTAATAGATGAATAAATTTATAATGTAGATAGCGCTCCCGTTGGAAAGTGGCATTGCTTTTGTAAACTTACTTATACACGTCGCCATACTCCACTTCTTTGCCTTTAATTAAATACCCTCCATAGTACATACAAGTAGCGTACGCGAAGAAAGATAACCCTTTGGATAATCCAAGAATGAATGCTCGTCCGTGCGTACCTTTGATACTTCTTTTGATATGCGGAAGCAGTTCCTCTACATAGATCTGATAAAACACCTCCTCGCACCCAAGGGAGGCCACTGTTCGAATGTTCCCCACCGCCTCTACAGCAACCTTCACAAATAAGAAGTACATAGGCTGTAGAAATTATAGATTCACGTGTACAAATTTAAAAAAAGGTAGCGAGGAATTAAAGATACTTTCTCAGTTGTAAGAATTTTCATTGATGTAAAACAACGCCGTCTGCAAAAAAATACACAGATATTTCATACACGTATAGCTGCTAGCACCCCGAAGAATCCAAAACATTTTGCGGTTCCTTTACCTTAGTCGACTTCTGCAAAGAGATGCGGTATTCCTCGTTCTCTCCGAATGACATTTGCCGTTGAAGAAACATAGCGCCTATCATTACCGGGAAGAAACCCAGCGCCACAAGACCCAATTTCCATTGGTAGTACACAGACAAAACCACGGCGAGTACGAGGCCGGTCATTGAATTCATGATGGAGGAAACCCGTAACCCAGTGGCCTGAAAACAGCATATCATTACACCATGTTCGGTTGAGAGGACGACGTACCCCTTGAACATGAGCTGCTTCACCGGAAAGCTGAGCGCAGAGCGCACCAACTCCGTTTGTTTTGCGATCAAAGTAACCCATTTCTTGACGCAGCATGGCTTCGAACATCTGACTTCTAAGTCTTAGCGTAAGCTTTTGACCCGCTACTCCGAACATGTACATCTGAAACGTATCCTAGCATTTAACTTCCATTACGCTAGAGACATGTTACGAAACTTACTTGTAAAAATGTGGAAACGGCTGCCAAGCCACCGGCGCCGACGAAATAAAGGCAGTATTTATTTGTTTCTGATCTCACGTAGTCTGCGTCCGTGTTTTCAAGAACCTGGAAAGATAGAGTTACTTAAAGAAATAGTATTAGGCAAATGGTGTTATGATTGAACATAACCAATCTAACTATTACTCACCTGCAGTATGCTACCAAATATAACTGCAAAAATAGGCATCGAACAGCCCATCAAAGCCGCACCTATGCTTCCCACGATCAGATAAAACCATTCAGGAGCGTTCATTTTGACTATAGACCAGATCGATGCTTTTTTTACGAAAATGTCTACATCCTGATCCACATCGGTCAGCTTAAACGACACAATTAGTAATTTGTTTATTTGGCAAAATTTATTTTCACACCTCTTCTTTCACAAGTTTAATGTTGCTGTCCTCGTCTTCAACTTCGGTACTTTCCCGCTGGTAATTTTTTTCTAATAATTCTTCCGACTTGGCTTGGGTGGTTACCAAAGCATGATATTCCCCTTTGAGAGCCATTAGTTCTTCGTGTGTCCCTTGTTCTACCACAGAGCCTTTGGATAGAACTACGATTTTGTTAGCACCTTTTATCGTCGACAATCTGTGAGCGACTATTATGGTCGTACATTGTTTGCTTGCCTAAAATTTTCACAGTCGCCAAATATATACCATTCTACAATGCTGAATTATGCTGTGCGCTATAGAAATTGCACCTCTTTACATTCTAGACAGTTTTTTCATTTTCGCAAAATGAACAGTTTTTCGATAATTTGGGGAGGGGGCATCGAAAACGTTGTTTAACAATGTCTGCTGCAAGAGGGTTGAATAGTAGGTCTACAACAGTGTGATCTTTTTTTTTTGTGGATTTGTGAGGTCATTGGGGTCATATAAGAGTCCCCCGAAGAGATGGAGAATTTTGCAAACCTGCATGGAGCATACATCAGTTACTAGAAACTTTACAGCACTATTAAATATTTATTAATGCATTAAAGTTATTAAATACATTATCCCAATTATTTCCGAAAATTTATAATACCTGTATTCGCTAGGATGAAAGTGTTGCAATTTCTGTGTCACCTGTCTCACCGAGTCCAATGCAGATTGAACTTTCGCTTCGCTGTTGGTGTCTAACGCTGACGTAGCTTCATCCAACAAGAGTAGCGCAGGGTTTCTAACCAAAGCTCTAGCGATTGCTATCCGTTGTTTTTGCCCACCAGATAACTGAGCACCTTAAACGTCACCAATAATTTGTCAAACATTGACTCTTTCAACGATTATAAAATTTCACCTCTTTCACCTACGATGGTTTTATACGCATTGGGAAGCATGTTGATAAAATTATCAGCGTTCGATTTTTTTGCAGCCGCGACGACATCTTCGAAAGTCGCATTTGGGTATCCGTACTTGATGTTCTCCTCGATGGTATTGTCGAAAAGTATCGGCTCTTGACCTACAACCCCAATGAAAGATCTGTACCAAGATAGATCTAGATCTCTGATGTCTACTCCGTCAACAAAAACCTATGACAATATAACAAACTTTGATTCATGATTGATTTTCCGCATTGTGTTCATGTATCTGTTTTGTAAAAGTTATTGTTTTGAAAGATTTACCTTTCCTCCATTCGGGTCGTAAAATCTTTGGATCAATTGTAATACGGTCGATTTTCCGCATCCAGAACTTCCAACGAGGGCGACCGTTTCTCCTGCCGTTATTTCCAAATTAAGTCCTTGCAAGATCTAGTAAAACAAAAACCGTTTTTCATAACACTTTCAAATTAAACTACCACGGGCTTAAATTTAAGGCGATTTAACCATGACAGACATCGGCTAGTTTCGATTGACCACATTGACTTTAGGAATTGATAGTTGCTGTTAAAGAATATAAAAACATAAGTATATTCTTTGGTAACGAATTTAATTTATACATTTATAATAAAACTCACATGATGAAGAAGAAGTCATCTTCATTACTATAATTTTGTCTATGGATTCTGCTTGAGTGTGTCGACTAAATGTAATTTAGAAAAGTAGGGAATTGTTGCATTTGCTTTATTTATAACCCTAATGGGAGAGATCACTTGAATCCCAAATTTTCTGTTTTGAATATTGAAAAATTTTTTGAATTTAAAAAAATGAATAATAAATAAATAAGTAATTAATAGCGAATCTAACAGTGTTGTCATATAATGTTAGTGAAAACAGCCACGTTGAATCGTTCACAATATTTAAGTTCAATACAGGGGTGCTCGAAAATCCAAGAAATTTTCAAAAACAAAAAACTATCGATCCTCGATCATGGGGTATGAACCTGATTTGGATACTTACTGGTACGTCATTTCTTGAAGGATAACTGAAATTGACGTCTGAAAATTTGATGTTTCCCTGAACACCATCGCCCTTTTCGCCGCTGCCCTTCGATAAATTGACCACTGGTTTCGACTCAATGATGTGGAATATCTTACCACCGGCCGATTTGGCAACAGCGAACAATTCGATGAACGGCGCCGCAATAGCAAAGTTTTGACTACCTGTCATGACGCTGAAAAACACCTGAAAATGAAAAATTTCACCAAAATTCGAAACTTGAAGAAGACTTACTCACGGTAACCATATTTCCAGGGGTGTAAACGGGATCGTCCCAGTCCCGTTGGCTGAGCATCAGTTTGATGCCGTACCAAAATGCGAGACCGTAACTGGACAAAATAAAAAACCAATATATTCCGTAGAAGTTGGCCTGTAAAAATGTCTTCTTGTCGCTGCATTTCCTGGCAGTGATAAGTTTGCTGTCGTAGCTAAAACACGAGTGGTTCAGCAATACGGCGTGAGAGATTCCATTGATCATTACCGTTCCTTTTCTTTGTTTTGTCCACCGAATGCGACCACTGTTCGAATAGAGGAAAGCACCTCTTCAGCAACGGCAGCCGCCGCACCATAGGCGTCCAGCTCCTTTTTAGAGAGTTTGGTAATAAACTGAAATGTACATTGCGCTGGTTGATACGTTCTTATGAACTAGTAATGGTGCTATTGAATTAAATGCAATATTAAGTTTTAGTACAAGTTGAAGCAACCCTAAAAAATTTGATTAACTGTCTGTAGAGGTTTCGAAAATATTCACAAAAAACGTCACTTTAACCACCCTTTTATCTTTCAAGTCTTAAAAGTGAGAACGTTGTGTCCACGTATAGAAAATGGCACTCTCCGAAGTCAGTTGAAGTCAAACATAGGTTTTTGATTTTTAAAGTAAAAGGCAATCTGTCAAGTCTTGATTGAATTTTCAGATTTACAAATTTTGTAGTCAAATTACCAGAACCCAAGAACTGAAAAATGAAGAAGATTCAAAATTAAGTTGCAGACTTAGCAACCGTACAAAATTTGATTTAATACTCTTTAGAGATTTCGTATTATAAATGCCACAATTCATAATCCGTTTAAGTCAAAAGTTGATTGTTGATCGAATTCTTCAAGTAATCAACAATAGTGAGATTACATACTAACTCTAGATCAAAATCATATTAGTGATTCTATTTTTTTATATGAAAGCAGAAACAAAACACATTGAAAAATAAACTTACTATTGTACATGATCCTCTTCTTTTTAATATAATTGTTTCGCTTTTTTAAAATTACATGCATCAATTATTCCGAACCAAACGTAAACGGTTGCTTCAAGCGACTTCTAACAAGAGTACAACTTTCATATAGAAATGATTGAGACATTCATTTTTTTTTTACCAAAAATGTAATACAGGGTTGTACAATAAGTCATGAACCTTTCAACGTGAGAAAGCACATACGGGTATCGCCCCCTATAAGTAAGAGGGAAATTAAGAACAGATTCAAATTTATAATTTCAAGAAACCTCGGGCATCGATTTCCGTTTAAACATCGGCTTTATTTCGGAAAGTATGAAAAAAAAACTAAATCTGAAATAAAACTTTGCCACTTGTAAACTAAGTATTCCCTCAGAAATATCAGGCAAACCATGTATAAATAAATATTTTTTAGGAGATTGTCAATTTTATTACTAATATTGATATCTTATCGAATTAAATTGGCCACACTGGTTTTAGTAGCTCACTGATTGTGATCTTTTTCTAAAATGACGCATGTACGTGGAGATGAGTCATTCAATCAAGGTTCTCGAATCCTGGAATAATAATTACCTTTTTTTTTTCTAGTTTAGTAAACAATTTTATTTACAAATTTGAGCATTAGAAAGCGACAACGGTTTAATTTTTTTCCAATTTGAAAAACTGTGGCATAGTCGTAAAAATTGTTAAACAATATTTCAATAAGTCGTCCATCGTTAAACATAAAACCAATCCCACACGAATTGCTGAAAACGATCTAGGGTCTGCACCCTAGATCGTTTTCAGACCCTAGGTTCGGCAACAACATACTTACAAACGATATAATTGCTGTGGAAGTTATTGAAATGGGAAGCGATACCACACAAATCAGAGCCAGTTCCCACCCTTTAACAATGGCGAGGACCAAGGACGATATAAAGCTCCCCTGTAGTGCTAGGAAGAGGGGAATCCTTTCGCCGATTCCCTCTTCGAATTTCGATAAATCGCTACGACAGACTGGGCACTTAAGGGATGAATAGTAATATTACATTGTTATCTTACTCTCCCATCCTGCTAGCAAAATCTCCTGAGGTGTTTACATCATACCACGATATGTCTTTATTCAACAGGCTTTTCAAGTACAGCGATCTTACTTTAAACACCTGCAGATTTTAAAAGTTACGTGAATAACACGAGTAGTGGAATAATAGCTGACCTGTCGGATAGCGGTGTAGTTGAATGTTTCTGACGCGACATACAAAAGAATGAGAGAGGCAACTCCAATGAGAGCATTCTTGTAGGCGAACTCAGCAATCGCATCCATAAACGCGTCAGTTGAGTCTGAACATACTTGCGCGTTGACGGAGCAGTTACGGGCATAATCGATGACGCTCTGAGTGAGTTCTCCGAAGAAAAGTCGGTTGAGTGGATCAACAGCTCCAGAAGCTAGAGCGGCTGCAGTGCCTAGCAGCATCAGAAATCTATCGCCTTTGGTTGAGAACTTGAGCTGAAAACGTTTAGCTTCGTTGTTAATTCAAAAGTAATTTTTTAAATTAGTTCAACTCACCATTTGTATATAGGACGGAGTCTTAATTTTCTCATTTTGCTGTACGAAGGACCTAGGAGGAAATATTTTGGTTTCAATTGGCTGTAATATGGCGCGTCTATAGACAACATTAACAAAGGGTTTTGGGATGTTATATTGAGGATATACTGACCACTTTCAATGCTTAGTTCGGAATTTGTCGAGAACTGTGCCATTTTGAAAGAGATCTTGTTAAAGTCAAATCAAATTATATAATAAAATAAATAAACCGGAGGAACTTATAACCTGTCTTAACAGTTGAAAAAAACTGAAAGCTATGAATCAGCAAGAAACTGTAAAATAAATCGGCAAGGATTTGTAATGCACAATGAAATACAAGTTTATATTTTTGTACTGGAGAACTATAAATCTGGAAACCTTTTAATTAGGTTAAATTGGAGAATAAGAAAAATAACTTGTAATAAATCAATTTTTGCTTTTCGGCACTGGATTTTTGGTATTTATTTTTGTTTGTGTAAAATTTACATTTAAATAATTCAAGATGAAATATATTTTATTATTTTTGAGTAAAGTTATTTGCACAGAACCATTTCATTTGAAAATTTCAAGTTCTGGTTTACTAAAAGTTAAAGCAAGTAGTACTAACTAAAATTAAATAAATTATTTACTTATTTATTGACGCTCCTTTTTTATTTCTATCCTTCTTTCCCATGTTCCCTGTAATAAAAAAAAAAGATACATTAGCTCGAAAATGTTTCGGAATTCTACTTTATCTACTAAATTCTACTATTTCCGTGGCCGTTATCATTTTCCTCACAATTAAGTAAGGAATAAATTTTATTGCTTACCTCAAGAACATACTGAACTGCGTTATATTATTTCAATAAATGGATCATTAGATGATTTAAACCCAAGATACATCGTCATACGCATGGATGGATAATTATTGATAAATTTAGAACAACATCATGATAATGTTGTCTATAAGTGTCTGGTCAGGTGCGTAGTTAAACAAGGTAATAACAAACTAGATGTAATATTTTTAATAAATTGCGATATTCCTCGAAATATGTGGTTAGTGGTTAGTAGCTCAACCGCGCTTGTATCTTATACTCATAATTTTAATGTAAAAAAGGTAACTATTGCTACAATTTTCAATAGGGAAAGGGAAATAATAAATAAAATTCAATTTTATAATTTGGGACATTCATCATTATGTCTAGAAAAATACACATACAAAAATATTTTTCGTCCATTTTCATATTTTAAACTTTATATTTTTGTTCAATGCATTAAAGTCAATAGTGGAAAATTCACTAAAATCACAAATCAACCTAACTAGAAATATCTTATCCGGACTGAATCGTATGGAGCTGATAGTAAAGGCAATTATTTCACTATGAGTTCCTTTTTCAGCGATTCTTCCGCCGTTGAGTACGCAAATGACGTCGGCGTCCTGTATCGTACTTAGACCGTGAACAATAGTGATACAAGTCCTACCTTGTTTTGCATTATACAATGCTTCTTGCACGATCTACGAAACAATCGCAAAAATTTATTTTCATATTCTTCTCTAAATATGAATACACACCTTTTCACTTTCCGTGTCTAGTGCTGACGTAGCTTCGACCAACAGCAAAACTTTGGGATTCCTCACCAAGGTTCTGGCGATTGCTCTTCTATGTTTTTGCCCTCCTGGCAACTGAGTATCTTTTTCTAATAGTTTAGTATTATAACCCTGAAACAAAATATGTATACATTCCATACACCGCCAAACTAAATATATTTTTCAAAAATCTCTTAAGATTTTATAAAAAAAAACACACACTTTAATATGAGCTAATTCTAAATCTTATCTTAAAGTAAACTTTGCAAATATTGAAACGGAAGTTCGATCTCCTGTCTCAAGCGGGAAGAAATATACATTTAATTAACACTACATAAAATGCAAGTAATATCCTACAGATATGCGTATAACTTTTAAACTTTAAATATCCAGCTAGGCTCAATAAACCATAAATAACACATACACTGACACTGAGTGTTCGAAAAATATGCGAAGATATTTGGAGGGCAATTCCTTATTATAAAAAACAAAAAAAAAACATTTTTTATATTAGAGCTTAATAAGAATCTGAATACAACAAATAACATTTCCAAATTTCAACCGAACCTAGTAAAACTGTTTTTTCATACTTTTTTAACAAGAAATCACTTTGTAAAATATGTCACTCTATTTTTCGAACACTTTATACATATGACATACAAATAACTCTAAACTATGTACGATGCAATGTAACGTTGATAAGGCGGTATATTGACTTAATCCTTACAAGTGCATAGCTATGCAATACACGTTTTTTGTTCATTCTTACTCAGTTTATTTAATGCTATTCCCTTACATATGACCGAATAACTTCAATCTGACACAAGAATTTCGCATGTTATTTTCTTCCAGAATTGTAATTGTCTATTAGGGTCTGTTTATTACATTGGTAACTAGTAAGAGAGTTAAAACAAGCGTTTGAAAATAAATGTTGAACATCTTCACCTTCAAGACTAGCAAGGTGTTAAGATTTACTCTCACATTTATAGAATTCTCAATTTTCTATTAGTATTTACGCTGTCCATGTGTTTATATACATGTCAGCAACATTTATGAATTTATCTAGTAAAGAGGGAAGATAATAATGGTCCTAATGTTGATCCTTGAGATACCCCACAGGTTGTAGGAATGGGCTTTGAAAGATTTCTATTTACTTTTACAAGCAAGATAGTTCGAATGCCTAGCAGTAAACTATGATTGAGGCGATCAAAAGAGTTTAAGTCGTATATAGAATAAACAACTGCTTAAAGATATTCTGTATGTTTGCAAACTTTTACAAGTAGGATGCGAATAATAAATATGACTCAATGATTAATACTGTTGAGTTCAAAATTATGTGAATTTCTTTTTAATTTTGTGTATCTTAAACATGCCGGACATTTCAGTCAATGTGACAACAGGGCGTTGTACGCCAAACCGGCAAGGTCTACGTTTCTGCTAGGCTAGTAACAATTTTGTAGCGTTACGGGGTAGACGTTCACGGCATGGGTCGCGACGTCGCCGCAAAGTGAGATACAGTCCATTTATAGAAAAGAAAAATTCAATAAATATTAAGTGATTGAGGAAACGCTTGTATTATTGAAGAAACATAGTGGTCCATCGAACGGGATTGTGATCCATCGAGTGGAGAGTTTTCAATTGCGAGAATTATCGAGTGTTCCGCAAAAGTGAAAAACGAGCAAATTGCGAAGTACAGATTGTTGGATCGTCTGTATTCGCAAAGAAAATTGTGTGAAAATTGTGAGGGAAACGTTTACGAGTCCGTAAACGAACGCCGGCAAGCAAAAAAGCGCAGCTGTGACAAGGCGGAGCGGCGCGGTGCACAAAGCATTGTTTGAAGGTCGTCGTTGCGGTGCCGTGGAGTTTATCGGCGAGCGCGGCGCGGCGTTGGAAATTGCACGTGCGGGCCGTACGATCACGCAGCGTTGCTACGACGCGACGGAGGACGAGACAGTAAGGGCCGGACTTAGAAAAAAAGTCGCCGTTAACCTGTAAGTCGATCCTTTTCAAATCTTTGTTGGATATGTGCAAACTGAAAGCGCATCTTCGGAAAAAGAAGTGTTTATGCAATTGCAATTTAGAACAGAGAAAATAATCGAGTTATTAGATATTTTTGAACAATATCAAAGTGAAATTGAGTCATTATGTTCGGAAACAGATTTAGAGAGCCAATTTAATGAAAGGGCAATTTTCCAAACAGAATTTTACAATATTGTCGCAAAGGCAAAAAATATTTTGGGTGATTTTAATGATACGAACAACAAAAATGAGTGTTTGCAAAATATTACGCATTCGGATTCCAACTCTGTCATTTTTCAGGAAAATTTACGGTCAAATTCTAATGAAACGATGGGTGTACGATTACCTTTAATAAACTTACCAACGTTTGCTGGAAACTACTCAAAGTGGTTGGAATTTAGAGACACGTTTGATAGTTTAATTCACAAGAATAAGTCGATTGGCGACATTCAAAAGTTTCACTATTTGCGTGCATCACTTGAGGCTCCAGCAAAGGAGGTAATTCAGTCATTAGAATTTAGCGCTTTAAATTATGAGATCGCGTGGGACATTTTGTGCAAAAGATATGACAACAAGCGTATTTTGGTGCAGAATCATATTACGGGGATTTACGATATACAGCCCATAAAATATGAATCTTCTTCTAGTTTGAGAAATTTAATTGATAACGTAGACAGGAACTTACGAGCCTTGGAAAATTTGGGAGAACCTGTTAAATTTTGGGACACGTTAATTTTGTATCATTTAGGCACTAAACTTGATCGCGTAACATAAAGGAGTGGGAATCTTTTAAAATAAAAACAGAGATGCCTGAGTTAAAAGATTTTAAGCAATTTCTAAAAAGCCGTGCAGACTTGTTAGAGACCTTGGAAAACAATTCCCGGACAAAATTGAAGGAAAATTTTACCGGGCAAAAACAAAGGGTTTTTGTTGCTGGGGTTGAAAAAAGCAAGTGTGTTATTTGTAAAAGCGGTCATGACATCAGCGAATGTAAGAAATTTTTGGAGCTAACAACCAGCCAGAGAATTGCGCAAATAAAACGAAACAAATTATGCAAACAAGCATTTTAGTTTTAATTGTCAAGGGAAAAAATGTTCGCAGTGTGGTTTAGGGCATAATGTTCTATTACATTTTTATAACCAACGCCAAACTGAACATGGCAGTGTTGAAAGTGCCCCAATTGCTGACGTACAAAAGGCTGTAGAAGCGTCTTCAAAGGAAGGAAGTAAAACCTCTGTGGCGCTATCCAGTAGAAATTGTGGGACTCAAGGTCAGGTGTTACTTTCTACAGCGATTGTCAAAATAAAAGATGTGAGTGGCAATGTGCATCATTGCAAGGTTTTGTTAGATTCAGCTTCAATGAGCAATTTTATCACTGAAAAAATGTGTGACAGACTTCAGTTAAAAACAAAAGATGCGAATGTGTGTGTGGTTGGGATTGGTCAAAACACTGAAAAGATTTCGAAACGGTGTGAAGTAGAAATCAGTTCTCAGAAAGGTGATTTCAAAATTCCTATCAGTTGTTTAATCATTCCAAAAATTAGTGATGAGATTCCTTTGTGTGAAATTGAGTTAGGGCCAATAAATATTCCAGGAAATATTTGTCTAGCAAACAGTGAATTTCATTTGCCTGATGAAGTGGATATGTTAATTGGTGCAGGTGTGTTCTGGAAACTCATAAGAGTAGGAAGAATCGAATTAGGGGAAAACAAACCTGTCTTACAAAACACTTGGTTAGGATGGGTAGTAGCGGGCTACATCAGTGGACAAGGATCTCGAGTCAAACCTAAGAAAACGGTGTGCAACCTAAGTATCGGTACAGAGGTACAAGACCAACTGGCCAAGTTTTGGGAACTAGAAGAGCCAGGTGGAAGTCAAATCGAGGGAATGACACGGGATGAAGTTGATTGTGAAAATTTGTTTATGTCAACAACAAGACGTGATCAGGATGGTCGATTTATTGTTGAAATCCCATTGAAAATGAGTATTGAAAAGTTGGGAGATTCTCGAGAGATGGCATTGAGGAGATTTTACTCTTTGGAGAGGAAATTTGCCAGGGACAAGCAACTACATATAGATTATTGTGAATACATGAGAGAGTATGAACAAGTAGGTCACATGACTCAAGTAAGTGAGGACATCACGAATGAAAGGTGTTATTACTTACCACATCATGCTGTGAAAAATGAAGGAAGTTCTACAACAAGGTTAAGGGTTGTGTATGACGGCTCTGCACAATCAGACTCGGGTGTGTCACTTAACGATTTGCAATTTTCGGGGCCAAGAATTCAAGAGGATATCATTTCAATTTTGTTGAGGTTTAGACAACATGAAGTAGCATTCTGCGCAGATATCGCCAAAATGTACCGACAAGTATGGGTTAGGGAAGATCAACGCTATTTACAAAGGATACTGTGGAGAGAAAATCCAGCAGAAGAAGTCAAGGTCTACAATTTAAACACGGTGACGTTTGGATTAACCTCAAGTCCATTTTTAGCGGTAAGGTGTTTGCAAGAACTGGCAAAAAATTGCGAACAAACGCAGATTTCAAAGGTAATTGGCAAGGATTTCTACGTTGACGATTTGATATCAGGGGCCTCGTCGATTCAAGAGGCACTTCAGATATTGTAAGGGTGTTTGTGAGGTTTTAAAATCTGGTGGGTTTTAGCTCAGAAAGTTCAGTTCGAACAAGAAAGAGTTCTTGGAACAATTTGGAGTAAGGCCCAAGGCAGAATTACAAACTCTTAATCTAGGAGAGCATCAACACAAAACTTTGGGATTGTATTGGGACTGTCAGGCAAATATCTTTACCTACAGGGTGAGGGAATTTACAAGTAATTCAAGTACCACAAAACGGAAGATTCTGTCAGAAATTGCCCAGCTGTTCGATCCACTTGGGTTAGTCATTCCCAAAATTATTTTACAAAGATTGTGGATTCTCAAGTTGGATTGGGACGATGAAGTACCGACCAATATTGCCCAAGAGTGGAAACAATTTAAGCAAGAAATGGTGAAATTAAATATGCTGCATATTCCAAGACATGTAGGTAGCAACAATTCAGAGGACATCGAACTTCATGGATTTTGTGATGCTGCACAAGAAGCGTTTGGAGCATGTGTCTATGTCAGAATTGTCACGAAGGATGGAAGTGTAGTCGTTCGCTTATTGTGTGCAAAAAGTAAAGTTGCCCCGATAAAGGCACTAACTATACCGAAATTGGAATTGTCAGGTGTATTATTACTTTCAAGGTTGATAAAAGAAGTACAAACTTCCATGACGTTAAATTTCAGGAAACTGTTTTTGTGGAGCGATTCTACAGTAACATTAAATTGGATAAAATCACCAGCAAATCAATTCCAAGCGTTTGTCGCAAATAGAGTATCTCAAATTCAGTCTATGACGGATCAAGACAATTGGCATTATGTGCGGTCAGAAGAAAACCCCGCAGACTTAGTATCCCGGGGACTTTTTCCTTCCAAGTTGTGTGGAAATAAATTGTGGTTTGAAGGTCCACAATGGTTGTCACAAGATTTCTTTCCAAATCAGGGTGTTAATGTACCTTTAGAGGAACTTCCAGAAAGGAGGAAGCGAGTAAAAGCCTTTTTGAATACAGAGAAGAATAGTCTAGAGATTTTTTCCAGATATTCCAGTTGGACAAAATTGAAACGTGTATTTGCATATTGCTTAAGGTTTACGGCACGTTGCAGAAAATTGGATAGTCACGAATCAAAGAATTTGACAGTGAAGGAACTCCAAGAGTCTGAAAAAATGTTAATAAAGTTCTCACAAGATGAATGTTTCGAAAATGAGCAGAAAATCTTGGAGACCGGTGAGAAGAAAAAAAAGGGTTGGTTGTCAAATTTAAATCCGTTTCTAGACGCCGACGAATTAATCAGAGTAGGCGGAAAACTAGCGCTTACAGAATTTAAATATGACAAAAACTTCCCAATTGTGTTAGACCCAAACCATCCATGTACAAAATTGATTGTTAAGGCAGAACATTTGAGACTACTGCATGCAGGCCCTCAATTAGTGCTCAGTTCATTAAGGGAAATTTATTGGCCACTAAAGGGCAGAAATGTTGTGAGAAAGATGGTGCATGAATGTGTTGTGTGTTCGAAGGTTCAACCTAGGTCCTTTGAAATACAGATGGGAAACCTACCTAAGGCACGAGTGATCCCACAATTTCCATTCAATACCACAGGGGTTGATTATACAGGGCCGTTCAATTTTAAAATAGCTTTGGGACGGGGCACGCGTTTGTACAAGGGGTATGTTTGTTTATTTATTTGTTTTTGCACACGTGCAATACATTTAGAGGCTGTAACAAGTCTGTCTACGCAAGCATTTGTTGCAACTTTCAGGAGATTCGTGTCTAGGAGGGGCAAACCAGAAAAAATGTTTTCAGACAATGGTAAAAATTTTGTGGGTGCTCAGACAGAACTGAGAGAGTTGGGAAAATTTTTGCGTAATAATCATATCAGTTTAAAGACATTGATTGCGACAGAAGGTGTTAATTGGTCTTTTATTCCGGCATATTCGCCTCATTTTGGGGGTTTATGGGAGTCAGGGGTAAAAAGTGTAAAATACCATTTAAAAAGAGCTTTGTTGTGTCAAATAGAGGCCATTTTAATTTCACGTCCTCTCAGTCCAATGTCCTCTGATCCTTCTGACTTGGACGTTTTAACCCCATCCCATTTCCTGATCGGAAGAAGGGCAACCTCATTACCGGACCCACGATTGCTCGAGCAACCTGAAAATATGCTTGCTAGCTATCAACGTATTCAACAATACCAACAAGGTTTTTGGTCTCGTTGGTCACTGGAATACATCGCTGAACTTCAGAGGCGCGTCAAATGGAAGGCTGGCGGGGACACTCTGCAGGAAGGGACATTGATGCTCGTGAAAGAAGAAAATGTGCCTCCCTTGTGTTGGAAAATGGGACGCATCGTTCAGTTATACCCAGGAAAGGACAACATTAGTCGGGTGGCTGATGTAAAAACGAGTGAAGGTGTCATCAAACGTTCATTCGCAAAATTGTGTCCATTGTTTCACGAAAGTGGGTGAGAAAAAAACTCAGTTCAAGTGGTTTCAAAGGTTGTCTAAGACAAATTGATTTTCAAGAAATGTTTGTTTTGTTGTTTTTTTTTTGAAAGAGGGTTCTTTCAAGGCTGGGGGTATGTTGAGTTCAAAATTATGTGAATTGCTTTTTAATTTTGTGTATCTTAAACATGCCGGACATTTCAGTCAATGTGACAACAGGGCGTTGTACGCCAAACCGGCAACGTCTACGTTTCTGCTAGGCTAGTAACAATTTTGTAGCGTTACGGGGTAGACGTTCACGGCATGGGTCGCGACGTCGCCGCAAAGTGAGATACAGTCCATTTATAGAAAAGAAAAATTCAATAAATATTAAGTGATTGAGGAAACGCTTGTATTATTGAAAAAACAAATACATTTATTTCTCTTATATCTTCACTACATAACATAACATTCACTACATTATACACAAAATAAGTTCTAATAAAAATTCCGTGGTCCAGAGGACCAGCTATTTATGCTGAAGAGTGTGCAACTTGAAATATAAACCCCTCTTCTCTAGTAAATCGTGGTGTGTCCCTTTTTCTGCCACCTTTCCGCCATCTATGACGCATATCAAGTCCGCGTCCTGAATCGTGCTCAATCTGTGAGCAATGGTGATGCAAGTTCTTCCTTGTTTTGCGTTGTCCAGTGCTTCCTGAACAACCTACAAAGCCAGCGAAAAATGTCTCACCCTGAATATTGTAAACGTTTTCTACCTTTTCGCTTTCAGTGTCGAGAGCGGAGGTTGCCTCGTCTAACAGCAAAACTTTAGGATTCCTCACCAAGGCTCTGGCAATTGCTATCCTCTGTTTCTGGCCTCCTGATAATTGAGTTCCTTTTTCCCCTAGTTTGGTGTTATAACCCTAAAAACAAATTGTTAGATTTTTCGTAACAGACAATAGAAACTTACTAATGGCAGTGATGAAATGAAGTTGTGAATATTTGCTTTCTTGGCGGCATCGATGATTTCGTCTTCACCAACTTCTCTGGAGTTGTCGCCGTAAGCTATATTGTCGCCTATAGTTTTGCAAAACAAATTCGGTTCCTGAGATACGATGCCCATACCGTAAAGAGGAGAGCGTCATTTTTTTGAGGTCGTCGCCGTCCAAAGAAACTTTTCCAGAGGTTGGATCGTAAAACCTCTCCAATAGCTGGACGATAGTAGATTTACCACAGCCGCTAGATCCTGCCAGGGCTACTGTTTTACCTTGGGGAACATTTAAGTCTAACCCATTCAATATGGTTGCGTCTTCTCTTGTCGGGTATGAGAAGGATACGTTGGAATACTAGACATTGCCATTAGCCTACAATGAAATTGGGAATGTTACTAAATGTTCTTGATTTCAATTTTAAAGACACTATGTTTTCCCTCCTTGAAATTGTATTATGTATTATCTTTTATTTAGTTAAAGAGAACAATCCCGTTACTTGAACAGAAACATGTTTACTACATCTCTGAGAAATTTTTATTTATCGTTTTGAATCAGATACGTTAATTTCTTCTCGAAACACTCACCAAAGTTTTGTCTACGGCCTCTGGATTGTCTCTTATTTTTGGAACGCGGTTAAGGAGATTCATGATGTTTTTGGAAGCTCTGAGTCCCTTGTCCATATTGGGCGTAAATGCCAACGAATTGGCGATGGAATTGGTACCCATTATCAACGCCTGGCATACTCTAATAGACGAATAATTTTAGAATGTAAATAACGCTCCCGTGGGAAATTGGCATTGCTTTTGTAAACTTACTTATACACGTCGCCATACTCCACTTCGTTGTCTTTAATTAAATACCCTCCATAGTACATACAAGTCGCGTACGCGAAGAAAGATAGCCCTTGGGACAATCCAAGAATTAATGCTCGTCCGTGCGTACCTTTGATACTTCTCTTGATGTGCGGAAGCAGTTCCGCCACATAGATCTGATAAAACACCTCCTCGCATCCAAGGGAGGCCACAGTTCGAATGTTCCCCACCGCTTCTACAGCAACCTTCACAAATAAGAAGCACATAGGCTGTAGAAATTATAGATTCACGTGTACAAATTTCAAAAAAGGGAGCGAGGAATTAAAGATACATGCTCAATTCTAAGAATTTTCATTGATGTAAGACAACGCTGTCTGCAAAAAAATACATAGATATTTCATACACCCCGAAGAATCCAAAATCAACATTTTGCGGTTTCTTTACCTTAGTCGACTTCTGCAAAGAGATGCGGTATTCCTCGTTCTCGCCGAATGCCATTTGCCGTTGAAGAAATATGCCGCCTATCATTACCGGGAAAAAACCCAGCGCTACCAGACCCAATTTCCATTGGTAGTACACAGACAAAACCACGGCGAGTACAAGGCCGGTCATTGAATTCATGATGGAGGAAACCCGTACCCCAGTGGCCTGAAAACAGCATATCATTACACCATGTTCGGTTGAGAGGACGACGTACCCCTTGAACATGAGCTGCTTCACCGGAAAGCTGAGCGCAGAGCGCACCAACTCCGTTTGTTTTGCGATCAAAGTAACCCATTTCTTGACGCAGCATGGCTTCGAACATCTGACTTCGAAGTCTTAGCGTAAGCTTTTCACCCGCCACTCCGAACATGTATACCTCAAACGTATCGCCACATTTAATTTCCACTAGTCTGGAGATATGTTACGTACTTGTAAAAATGTGGAAATGGCTGCCAAGCCACCGGCTCCGACAAAATAGAGGCAGTATTTATTTGTTTCTGATCTCACGTAGTCTGCGTCCGTGTTTTCAAGAACCTGGAAAGATAGAGTTACTTAAAGAAATAGTATTAGGCAAATGGTGTTATGATTGAACATAACCAATCTAAATATTACCCACCTGCAGTATGCTACCAAATATAACTGCAAAAATAGGCATCGAACAGCCCATCAAAGCCGCACCTATGCTTCCCACGATCAGATAAAACCATTCAGGAGCGTTCATTTTGACTATAGACCAGATCGATGCTTTTTTTACGAAAATGTCTACATCCTGATCCACATCGGTCAGCTTAAACGACACAATTAGTAATTTGTTTATTTGGCAAAATTTATTTTCACACCTCTTCTTTCACAAGTTTAATGTTGCTGTCCTCGTCTTCAACTTCGGTACTTTCCCGCTGGTAATTTTTTTCTAATAATTCTTCCGACTTGGCTTGGGTGGTTACCAAAGCATGATATTCCCCTTTGAGAGCCATTAGTTCTTCGTGTGTCCCTTGTTCTACCACAGAGCCTTTGGATAGAACTACGATTTTGTTAGCACCTTTTATCGTCGACAATCTGTGAGCGACTATTATGGTTGTACATTGTTTTCTTGCCTAAAATTTTCACAGTCGGCGAATATATTCCAATCTAGAATGCTCAATTATGCTGTGTGTTATAGAAATTGCAACTCCTTACAAATAGCTAGACTGTTTTTTCATTTCCCAAAATTGAACCGTTTTTTTTTTTCGATAATGTGCCGAAGTATTGAAGATATTGTATGACAATGCCTGTTGTAAGAAAGTTGGATGGTAGGTTTACGACAGGGTGACGTGTGACGTTTCTGTTTGTAAATTTGTAAGATCATAGATGAGTCCCCCGAAGAAATGGAAAATTTCGCAAAGATTGCATGGAGCCTACGTACTAACCAACCTGTCGCCAGTCCTTCAGTAATTAAAAGATCCATTGTTTGAGCAAGACAGTTACTAGAAACTTCACAGCACTATTGAATATTTATGAACGCATTAAAATTGTTAAATACATTAGCCCAACTACTTCCGAAAATTTGAATTACATATATTTGCTTGGATGGGCGTGTTGCCATTTCTGTGTTCATAGTATATTTCATTCTCTCACCGAATCCAATGCAGATTGAACTTTCGCTTCGCTGTTGGTGTCTAACGCTGACGTAGCTTCATCCAACAAGAGTAGCGAAGGGTTTTTAACCAAAGCTCTAGCGATTGCTATACGTTGTTTTTGCCCCCCAGATAACTGAGCACCTAAAACGTCACCAATAATTTGTCAAACGTTGACTCTTTCAACGATTATAAAATTTCACCTCTTTCACCTACGATGGTTTTATACGCATTGGGAAGCATGTTGATAAAATTATCAGCGTTCGATTTTTTTGCAGCCGCGACGACATCTTCGAAAGTCGCATTGGGGTATCCGTACTTGATGTTCTCCTCGATGGTAGTTTCGAAAAGTATCGGCTCTTGACCTACAACCCCAATGAAAGATCTGTACCAAGATAGATCTAGATCTCTGATGTCTACTCCGTCAACAAAAACCTATGACATATAACAAACTGTGATTTATGATTGATTTTCCGCATGCTGTTCATGTATCTGTTTTATAGAAGTTACCGCAAAGATTTACCTTTCCCCCATTCGGATCGCAAAACCTTTGAATTAATTGCAATACCGTCGATTTTCCGCATCCAGAACTCCCAACGAGGGCGACCGTTTCTCCTGCCGTTATGTCCAAATTAAATCCTTGGAAGATCTAGTAAATCAAAAAACGTTTTTCATAATACCTAAATTACCTCAAATGTACTATGCTCCCTGACAGATATCGGCTAGTTTCGAAATGACTACATCGCCTTAGGAATTTATCGGGGGGAACGCTTGATGCGGTTAACACTCACACTCACACACTCTAATCAGGGCTTAAAACTAAATCCGAATAAATTCGCTTAAATATACTTTAGTATGACATTGAACTTCCTGCTTTTAAAGAATATAACAACTTAAGTACATTCTTTTGTAACCAAGTTAAGTTCCAAACGCGAGTATCAAAAGTTCTCCACAACGTTTATAATATTATAAACAATATCTATAAAAGTAAAGCAATTCTCAACTGTAAGTTATTAAAAATCACATGATGAAGAACTACTTCTGAGTCATATTAATTACTGTAATTTTGTCGATTTTTCAAAACAAAAAACTATCCATCATCGATCATGGGGTATGTACCTGTTTTGGATACTTACTGGTACGTCATTTCTTGAAGGATAACTGAAACTGACGTCTGAAAATTTGATGTATCCCCGAACGCCATCAGGCTTTTCGCCGTAGCCTTTCGATAAATTGACTACTGGTTTCGACTCAATAATGTGAAATATCTTTCCACCGGCCGATTTGGCAACAGCGAACAATTCGATGAAAGGCGCCGCAATCGCAAAGTTTTGACTGCCAGTCATGACGCTGAAAAATACCTAAAAACGAAAAATTTTGGGCAAAATTCGAAACTTGGCGAAAACTTACTCACGGTAACCATATTTCCAGGGGTGTAAACGGGATCCTTCCAATCCTGTTGGTTGAGCATCAGTTTAATGCCGTACCAAAATGCGAGACCGTAACTGGACAAAATAAAAAACCAATATATTCCGTAGGAGCTGGCCTGTAAAAATGTCTTCTTGTCGCTGCATTTCCTGGCAGTGATAAGTTTGCTGTCGTAGCTAAAACACGAGTGGTTCAGCAATACGGCGTGAGAGATTCCATTGATCATTACCGTTCCTTTTCTTTGTTTTGTCCACCGAATGCGACGACTGTTCTGATGGAGGAAAGCACTTCTTCAGCAACGGCAGCCGCCGCACCATAGGCGTCCAGCTCCTTTTTGGAGAGTTTCGTAATAAACTGAAATGCACATTGCGCTGTTTAGAGATGTAGAGATATTTCAATGCTCCTATGAATCTTCTAGGCCTTACTGCAAAGTTGCCAGCACTCAAAAACCGAGGAATAAAGAAAATCCAATAATATGTTTCAGTACAAGTTTTAGCAACACTAAAAAAAAATGATTAATTGTCTGTAGAGTTTTCGAAAATATTTACAAAAAAAGCCATTTTAACCACCCTTTATCTTTCACGTCTAAAAGATGACCACGCTGTGTCCACTTATAGAAAAGTCAAAAATAGATTTTTGATCAAACTCTTAAAGTAATAGGCAATCAGTCAAGTCTTGATTGAATTTTAAGATTTACAAATTTTGAAGTCCAGTTACCAGAACTCAAGAACTGAAAAATGAAGGTTCAATATTAAGTTTCAGTACAAGATTTAGCAACCGTACAAAATTTGATTTAGTCGTCTTTAGAGATGCCACCATCCATGATCTGTTTAAGTCATAAGTTGATTATTGATCCAATTCTTCAAGTAATCAACAATACTGAGATTATATACTTGTCAACTCTATATCAAAATTATGCTATGGTTTATATATTTTTTTATATGACAATAGAAACAAAACACTAATAAACTTGCTATCCTACATGAACCTGTTCTTCTTAATATGATCATCTAATATTTATAGTGAGATGCAGGATCGTTCCATCAGATCAAAGAATGTAATCCTGGACAGTGTACCGGAGAGTATGGCTGATGACTCAAAACTCTGTGTTGAGCGGGATAAGCAACATATATCTAAAATTCTTTCCGCAACTCGGGTGAATTGTTCAACATTTAAGGCTTTTCGACTTTGCAGACGTAACAACAGGGGCCCCAGGCCGTTGAAGGTTGTCTTATTTAATGCATCACTTGTCTCTGTTTGCCTTGCAAACCGTAAAATCCTGAATGATAGTGTTATAAAGGTTAGAGAGGACTTAACGCCACTACGGAGGGATCACCAAAGAACGCACATGAGGAGCTTGCCGCACATTCTGTTGGCGAGCCAGGTTTACACGTTCAGTATGTTAATGGGGTACTGAACGTGATCTAGCAGAAGACGACGGGGGAGACCGTCATCGCAGTTCGTAGACAGTTAAAGGCACACATGGTTCATGTTAGCTGTTCTGTTTTCGAATATATTTTTGTGCATGTTTCGTTCGGAGTGAAAAAATTTATTCTTGGTGCAGTTTATATTCCTCCCTCGTCACCTACTTCACTGTATGAGGAGTTTACTTCCTCTATTTCAGACCTCTAGGTTGAATACGCAGATTGTGATGTCTTGATTGGTGGTGGTTTGTGTGTGGTGAGTATGGAGTATATCTCGTCGGCACATCTGCTTTGTGCCTGTTGTAGTTACCATAATTTAGGTCAAGCTAACTGTATCCCTAATAAATTTGGTCAATTTTTAGATCTGATATTTATGAGTTTGCCTGTAGCTCAGGTTTGTTTCGCATCCGAGAACATATTGGATGTTACAAAGTACCATATGGCTTATGAGATTATGTTGCCTATTGATTGTGATATTGGTGTAAAGTATGATGTCTTTTATTATGATTTTAGAAATTGTAACTTAGATGCAATGAATTGTTATCTGTCTTGATTACCTTGGGAGGGTGCAGTTGACCCCTGGGATGTTAACAGATGTGGCGATTATTTCTATAGTGTTTTGTATGGTGCGATTGAGATGTTTATTCCTGTTAAGCGATTTAAGTCTTCAAATCTCCCTGCATGGTTGCGTGTGTGAACTCCAGAACTTAATTACTATGAAAAAAACTGCGCACACAAAATACAAGCAAACTAACAACGTTGTTGATTATTTATATTTCTGCGGCTTGAAGGAACAGTGTAAGGCACTGCGTAATGAGTGCTACAGTGCATATATAATGAGAATTAATTAGGATGTCACGTATGACTCAAAATCTTTTTGGAAACATGTAAATAGTTTGCGGCGGTCAAGTACATATCCCGGTAATATGTATTTGGGTGACGAGGTTGCCGACTGTGGTCAGGATATCGTTGGCTTTTTTGCAAAGCACTTTGCTTCTACTTATGAAAAGTGTGAGGGTGTGATTCCTAATTATAGTTTTGACTATAATTTAGACTTCAACCCTATGAGTGATGTGTTTGATAGTATTATGAACTTACAGACTGGATTTTCCCGTGGGCCTGACGGGACTCCATCAGTCTTGATTAAGAATTGCGTGTGTAAATAGGCCACTAAAGAATATATTTATTCTGCCCTTGTCTTCAGAATTTTTCCTGACTTTTAGAAGGTTAGATATTTGGTACCGATTCACAAGAGTGGTGACAAGAGCGATGTCGCTAATTATAGAGGCGTTTGCATGTAGTCGGTGGTTCCTAAACTGCTAGATAAGTTATTTTGTGAGAGACTTTCGTAGCATTGTAGGTGAATTCTGGCTGATCAACAGCATGGATTTGTGCAGGGTAGATCTACTGTAACAAATTTACTCATCTACCAACAATTTTTATTGAACGCCTTTGAGGAGTTTGGTCATTTGGATTGTCTCTACACTGATTTCTGGAAGGCGTTTGATCGAGTGGGTCATGTGCATCTTGTCTCTAAGCTTAGAGTTATGGGAGTGGGAGATGGGCTGGTTCAGTGGATTCAGTGTTTTCTGTCTGGTCGTACTCAGTTGGTTCGTATTAATAATTATGTCTCAGGTAAAGTTGATATTTTTTCGGCGGTCCCCCAAAGTTCTCACACTGGACCCATCCTTTTTAACTTGTTTATAAGTGATATTGTTAGTGTAGTTTCGGAGTGGCAGTGTCTTTTGTTTGCGGATGATTTGAAGATATTCAGGAGGATTGGATCGCGCGAGTGTGCTCTGCTACTTCAGAGGGACGTGCACAGTAATTGCATGTGGTCTAAGATTAATAGTCATGCGTTCAATTTAAAAAAAGGCTGTAGTATTAGTTTTAGTTGTTCGTTGAGTATGGTGCACAACCGATATAGCATTGATAGAGTCGAGATCGAGGCCGTCACTAACATTAAAGACTTGGGTGTTTGCTTCTATTCTAAACTAAGTTTTGTGACACATTTTGCGGAAGTGGTAAACAGGTCTATACAAGTCCTTGGGTTTGTACGCAATAGTGGCTAACTTACTCCACATTGCTTTCAACTCCTTGATATCTCTTTGGTTCGCTCTAGACTGGAGATTCTGAATTGTTGGTATTATTGTCCAGCTCTTTTACATAGCATACTATTTAACGCATATTAGAAAATTTGTGAGAACTCAATGTTCCGCATACCTTACCATCGCGCAAATTATGGAGTTTATTCCCCTTACTAGAATGCTGAAAACGTGCAACTGTTTAAAGCTTGATCCTTTTCTCGGCCTCCTCTCATTTCATTCTGATGTGTTCCGTTTCCACTTAATTCTGTTTATTGTTATTGTTATAATTTGTTCTGGTTTCTGGCTGTTATACTGCTGTATATTTCTCTCTTTGCCTTTAATGTATGTCATGGTTTTGTAAATTGGTTAAACCGTAAATACATAAATAAATAAGTCATGAGACTTTGAAAGTGAGAAAACACATATATGTAGCGCCCTCTATAAGTAAGAGGGAAATTAAGAAGAAATTCAAATTTATCATCTCAAAAAACCTCGGGTACCGATTTTCGTTTAGAAATTGGCGTTATATATAAATATTTTTAAGAGATTGTTAATTGTATTACTAACATTGATACATTATCGAATAAAATTAGCGACACTAGTATTAGTAGCTCACCGAGATCGATGTTTTTCTAAATTGATTAAAATATACCTGGAGATAATGAGTCAGTCAATCAAGATTCTCGAATCTTGGATTACCAGTTATCATTTTTTTATTAATTTAGTAAATAATTTTATTGAATAATTTGGGCTTTACATAGCAACAACCGATTAGAATTTTTTCCAATTTTAAATATTGTGGAATAGTTGTAAGAAAAATCTTCCATCGATAAAGTAGAAAACCAATCTCACCCGAATTGCTCAGGTTCGGCAACAACATACTTACAAACGATATAATTGTTGTGGAAGTTATGGAAATGGGAAGCGATACCACACAAATCAGAGCCAGTTCCCACCCTTTAACAATGGCGAGGACCAAGGACGATATAAAACTCCCCTGTAGTGCTAGGAAGAGAGGAATCTTTTCGCCGATTCCATCTTCGAATTTCGATAAATCGCTACAACAGACTGGGTACTTAAGGGATGCATAGTAATGTACGCTTATTCTCTTACTCTCCCATCCTGCTAGCAAAATCCCCTGAGGTGTTTACATCATACCACGAAATGTCTTTGTTCAATAGACTTTTCAAGTACAGCGATCGTACTTTAAACACCTGAAAAAATTAAAAGTAGTATGAATAACACGATTAGTGGAATAATAGCTGACCTGTCGGATAGCGGCGTAGCTGAATGTTTCTGACGCGACATACAAAAGAATGAGGGATGCAACTCCAACGATAGCGTTCTTGTAGGCGAACTCAGCAATCGCATCCATAAACACGTCAGTTGAGTCTGAACACACTTGCGCGTTGACGGAGCAGTTACGGGCATAATCGATGACGTTCTGAGTGAGTTCTCCGAAGAAAAGTCGGTTGAGTGGATCAACAGCTCCAGAAGCTAGAGCGGCTACGGTTCCCAGGAGCATCAGAAATCTATCGCCTTTGGTCGAGAACTTGAGCTGAAAACGTTTAGCTTCATTGTAAATTCAAAAGTCATTTGTGGTAGCAAGGAGAAAAGATATACGAGCTGATTTTTTAAATTAGTTCAACTTACCATTTGTATATAGGACGGAGACTTAATTTTCTCATTTTGCTGTACGAAGCACCTAGAAAAAAATATTTTGGTTTAATTCACTGTAATATCGCGTGTCTATAGACGACATTAACAAAGGGTTTTGCGATGTTATATTGTGGATGTACTGACCACTTTCAATACTTAGTTTGGAAACTGTTGTGAACAGTGCCATTTTGAAAGAGATTTTGTTTTATTAAAAAAATTAATAAAATAAATAAAACGCGGGAAGAAATAACTTAACTGTTGAAAAAAGAGTGAAAGCTATGAATCAGCAAAAAACTGTAAAATAAATCGGCAAGGATTTGTAATGCACAATGAAATAGAAGTTTGTATATTTATATCTGAGAACTATAAACCTAGAAACATGTAATTAGGTCAAATTGGGAGAGTAAGAATACTAACTTGTTAGAAAGCGAATATATCGCGATTTGGGTTCTTCCGCACTGGATTATTAATATTTGTTTCTGTTTGTGTCCAATTTACATATAAATAATTCAAGATTAAAGATTATTAGTGAAACTTATTTTTGAGTAAAGTTATTTGCATAGAAATATTTTATTTGAATATTTCAAGTTCTTGTTGACTGAAAAGCAAGCAAGTACTACTAACTAAAATTAAATAAATTATTTACTTATTTATTGGCGATCCTTTTTTATTTCTATCCTTCTTTCCCATGTTCCCTGAAATTCAAAAATATTATCTTGAAAATGTTCCGGAATTCTACTTTATCTAAATTCTAGTATTCCGTAGCCGTTTACATTTTCCTCAGTAACATTTAAGTAAAGAAAATATTTGGTTGCTTACCTCAAGAATATACTGAACTGCGTTCTATTATTTCAAAAAAAGGATGATTAGGTAATTTGAGCCTAAGATACATCGTCATACGCATGGAGGGAACATTATTGATAAATTAAGAAGAACATCATGATAATGTTGTCTATAAGTGTCTGGTCAGGTGCGTAGTGAAACAACGTAATAACAATAATAAATCAGTTGTAAATTTTTTAATAAATTGTGATTTTTCTCGAATTATGTACCGTATTTATTATTAATAAATTAGTAAATAAAATTCAATTTCATAATTTGCTACATTTGTTTTATTCATTCATCATTATGTCTAGAAAAATACACATACAAAAATATTTTTGGTGCATTTACATATATTAAATTTCTGATTTTTGTTCAATGGATTAACATGAATAGCGGAAAATTCACTAAAATCACAAATTAAACTAACTAGAAATATCTTATCCGGACTGAATCGTATGGAGCTGGTAGTAAAGGCCCCTTTTCGCAATCAGTTCACTATGACTGCCCTTTTCAGCGATTCTCCCGCCGTTGAGTACGCAAATGACATCGGCGTCCTGTATCGTACTTAGACGGTGAGCAATAGTGATACAAGTCCTACCTTGTTTTGCATTATCCAATGCTTCTTGCACGATCTGGAAAAAAATCGCAAAAATGTATTTTCATATTCTTCTCTAAATATGAATACACACCTTTTCACTTTCCGTATCTAGTGCTGATGTAGCTTCGTCCAACAACAAAACTTTGGGATTCCTCACCAAGGCTCTGGCTATTGCTATTCTCTGTTTTTGCCCTCCTGACAACTGAGTACCTTTTTCTCCTAGTTTAGTATTATAACCCTAAAACAAAATACGATGGCATACATGTCATACACCGACAAACTAAATATATTTTTCAAAAAGCTCTTAAGGTTTTATAAAAATACACACTTTTATAAGAGCTAATTCTAATTCTTATCTTAAAGTAAACTTTTCAAATATTGAAACTGAAGTTAGACCTCCTTTCTCAATCGGGAAGGAATTTACATTTCATTGGAATTAACACTACACAATATGCAAATAATATGCTATATATAAATAACCAAATAACAAATAATAAATAACCCATACACTGACACTGAGTGTTCGAAAAATAGACGGAAATATTTGGAGGGCAATTCCTTGTTAAAAATAAGAAAAAGGTGTTTATAAGAGCAAAATTAGCCTCTGAATACACCAAATAACGCCGCCAAATTTCAACAATACCTAGTAAAACTATTTTTTTCATATTTTTTAACAAGAATTCGCCGTCTAAAATATCTCAGTCTAGTTTTAAAACACGTTATACATATGACTTATACATTATTATAAACCATCTATATAAGTGAGATGGTACAACGTAACTTTGATAAGGCGGTTTATAACGAAATAAATCCAAACACAAAAAAACTGATTTATTTTGTTGCGTGGACCCGCAGCGCATTACCTAACACACGGCTGATGCGCTATGATAATGTGGCGTTGCCGCTATTACTCAAAAGTATATCTGGTTTTAAACTTTTACATCAACTGTACTATATCAACATACTTCCCGCGTTGAAAGTATGCTTTCAATAATAACTTGACAATATAACAGCACGTAAAATGTTGAAGCAACTTGCACTGGCTGCCAGAATGTAAACATAATAAAAAACAGCTCGTGTCATCGCTCAAAGGTAAGCCACATACACCTTGCAGTGCACGCTTAAAAATGCCTTTCTATGTTTTGACACTTATCACTCGCACTATTGAATCTTGTGGAGATTTCCATTTCTGACGTGACTGTAAGTGTTATAGATATTCTCTGGACCAAGGTTCCAGATATGTTGAACAATTTGTGAAAAATAGTGGTATCGAGTTAGACGGTTCATTGGTTGATCTCGTAAATCTCTTTGGGGCAAAGAATTTAGTGAACTCCCTATAAGTAGGTGAGACGGGGTTAAGGGTTGGAAGTCTTGAGAATGTTCTGTTAACGGGATTGAAGGCCTGGAATTGAGACAAGCCTCGACATGGATAATGACCGTTTCAATAGCATTCGGTTGGCAAATAACCTGCTATGATCCAGCCTAATTTGGATTTTTGAAGTGTTGATTAATTGATACTTGCTTGCTTGATATAACCTATGCAGAGGAAATCCCAGAAGACTTGAGCTCCGATTAGTAGGTCTATGTCTGCCTGCTTGTAAAATTCATTGTCCGCCAATTGAATGTCAGGGGGAAGGATTAAGAGTGATGGTTCTATTGACACTGACGGTATTTTATTTTCCTTAAAATTAAAAATGATGTTTCTGCTTGATATGCTGAGTACTGTGATTTTATGACCGATCGTTGTTACAAAATGAGCAGTTTATACAAAGTTTATGGTTTTTTGCTTCTTGATATCGCTGCGAAGTAGACATCCCTAAGGATTTGTCACAACAGAAAATTGAGTGTTCCTGATTGCATACAGAGCGTCTGTATGATATGCTTGAGTTAGTACGTGCTGGCTGTGTATTTAGATCTTCAGGTTTGGTTAAAAGTATGAGAGTGACCTGGTTTTTCTGATTTTGGTTTCGATATTTATCGGAAGTTTATGGTTTATGAAATTTATTTTTGTTTATTTTTAAAGCTTCTTTTTTAAGCTTTCTTTTTGTTTTCGAATTGGGCGTGCAAACATTTCCATGCAATTTCATAATTATTGGATGCTACTTCTATTGAGTGTATCACATCAGCTGCTTGGCCTTTGCATGCTGATTTTAAATAATAAAACTTTTCTGCATTAGAATATTGAGGCCTTGGATGAATAAGAGATTTAAAAGTATCGGGCCACTGTAACCATTGGTCGTAATGCCCCGTAGTTTTTAGTCTGATATTTGAAAATTGATTTTCAGTTTGATCAACACTAATTTGGGGGGTGGGGGGGTACTGACTGATTCTTTCGATCTAACATAAATTTCGCTTTGCTGGTTGTTAAAGAAAAATATTTGTCTTCAAATTCATATCTACGATTAATTTGGCTTTCTATGTCACCAAATAGCGCCCACTGACTCTCACATGCGGCTAAGCGACTCGGAACTTCTATAAACAAATCCGAATTTTGAGATAATGTTTTAAGAAATTCCTCAAATCGAGATAAATGTTTCAAAATAATTTTATGTTCGTGAAACAGCCATTTCCAAGTCAAACTCTGTTTCAATCGTTAAATAAACAAAAATGAACGGTTCGCTGATTACGCTTCGAAATTGTTTCCGTCGACTGTCACTTGTTAGTTTATCATTGATTAGGCTTTACTGAGAACTGATGATGATTTTTCCCGAAAATAATAAATCGAAGCGTTAATTCACTGGTTTTGCGTTAATTAATATCCGGCTCGAAGGACCAAATGGTGGAGGTTGTAAGTCTCCTCTGATTGTCTTAGTTAGGTTCAGCAATAAATCCTGATACTTTACAAAAAAACTGATTTACTTTGTTGCGTGGACTCGCGGCCACACGACCGATGCGCTATGCTAAGCAAGACTTGCGAGACTGGCGGGTCGCTCTCGTAGCTATGTGTGTGCTAATGGGCTACAGCTACTGGGCAGTTGCTGAAATAGTCCTCTTTGAGAGGGAGACGGTGTTAATAGGATCACTATATAGATCACCGAATGGATATGTCAAAGGCTTATTATATTTTCTGTGTAATAGGTTATCCGTTGTTATATTTGGTGAATGCGTCTTTAAGTGCCGGAAAAATCCCTGATAAACTAAAAACAAGCATCATAGTGCCCATATCTAAAGTGTCAAAAACCGAAAACACCTGGTGATTTTCAACCAATTAACTTGCTGCCAGTAGTGAATAAAATCCTGGAAACGATAGTGTGTGGGCAGTTGAGAGACTACCTGGAGCGGAACTGCCTACTCTACAGTGGACAGTCTGGTTTCAGGAGCAAACACTCGTGCGAATTTGCGTTGCAATATATGTGTGCAGTGTGGCGGAAAGACAAGAATGAATCAAAACTAATTCTGAGTGTTTTTGTAGATTTCAAACGTGCATTTGAGACTATATTATTACAAAATTAGGTTTAAATGGCATTAAAGACTATGCACTAGAATGGATAAAGAACTTTTATCTGATAGATCTCACCAGACTAAAATTAATAATAATGTTTCTAGTCACAGGGATAGCAGATGGGGGGTACCGCAGGGAAGCGTGTTGGGCCCGCTTTTATTTATTATTTATATAAATGATATACATCAGGTTTTAAAAAACTCCTTTGTTAACTTATTTGCTGATGACACGCTTATTTCAATCTATGAGAACGATTGCTAAGAAATAGCTACCAAACTGAACACCGAAATGTAGTATTTCTACGAATGGCTGCGTCAAAATAAACTGAAATTAAATAGCTCCAAAACCAAGTGCACGGTTATTGGTTCTAAGGTTAACTGTCAAAAATTTTATAAGTCGGGGTATTCTGTGGATATACAGCGTAATAAAATTGAGTTTCTTTCCGAAATTAAATACTTAGGGGTGATCTTGGATCCACAATTATACTTTAGTAATCATGTTGAATATCTATGCAAAAAAATTGGTAAGAAAATAGGATTTTTTAACCGTGTATCGCGGTTTTTATCGCAGTGGACTAGGATATTAGTGTATAATAGTATAATTTTGCCTCATTTTTCATATGTTTGTTCATTGCTTATATCTTGTACAAAAGAAGATTTAAATAAGTTACAGTTACAACAAAATAGGGTTATGAGAATCATCCTGTAATAGATATACTCCTATAAAGACCTAACATACTCTAAATAACCAGCTAAATTGGCTAAATGTCGGGCAGTTCATTAGAAGAGCAAGTTTAATGTTGGTTTATGGAATTGCGCACAATCACCAACCAGGCTATCTTAAATTATGGTTGGAAAAAAGGTCAAACTTTTATCAATATAATATAAGTTCCAATCAGCACTTTAATGTTTCTATGGTAAAAACAAATTTACAGAAAATTCTATTCTACGATGGTGTTTGTAATTTTAATGAACTGCCGGATAATATTAAGGGCGCGCCGTGCCCAAGATTCTTCAAGAAGAAACTTACGGGGTATTTGCAACGTTTATAGTTTTGTTTATGCAAATTTTACTTGCTTATGTAAATAGCCAAGTGCTAAATAAATAAATAAATAAATAATAATGTGACGTTGCCGCTATTACTCAAAAGTTTTAAATTTTTACATCAACATAGTTCTTCCAGTAGATGGTTTAATAACTGGACAAGATTCTCGATTATAAAGTCACATTGATATAAACTTTCGATACGAATGAATTCTGTCATTGACATAATCTGAACAAGTACTTAGCTATGCAATACACGTTCTTTGTTCATTCGTACTCAATTTACTTCCAGCTATATTCGAATAACTCCAATCTGGGACAAGAATTTCGCATTAGTTATATTCTTCTAGAACTGGGGTCCGTTTATTACACTGGTAACTAGGAAGCGGGTTAAGACAAGCGTGGGACAATAAATGTTCTCAGCTCTCTTCAAGGGTGTTAAATGTTAATTTAAGATTTACATAGGACTTTTTTAATGCAGAATAGACCCTCTCACGTGTATATGTACGTATATGTATATATAATAAATATGGAACTCTGCTTGATAGAAATATACCTACCAGAGGTAACGAAGATACAAAATTGTGAATATTGGCTTGCTTGGCTGCTTCTAGAATTTCAGCTTGGGTAACGTCCCTCGAGTTGTCGCCGTAGGCGATGTTCTCCCCAATCGTTCTACTGAACAAGTTCGGCTCCTGAGAAACTATACCCAGATGCGATCTCATCGAAGCCAGAGTGATACTTTTGATATCAACTCCATCTAATGACACAGTTCCCGACGTTGGATCGTAAAAGCGTTCGATGAGTTGAATGATCGTCGATTTTCCGCATCCGCTAGCCCCTACCAGAGCGACAGTTTTTCCCTGTTGGACGTACAAGTCCAGATCTTCGAGTACGGTTACATACCTTCTCGTCGGATACGAGAACGTAATTTTTGCGTATTCTACATTCCCTTCGGCCTTAAAAAATTCTAGTCAGTTGTATTTGGGAATGTTATTACGACACTTACGTCAAATTTCTGCAATACTCCTTCTTCGTCCTTTATTCTCGGTACCCTATTGAACAGATCATTGACTGCTTTCGCCGCGTTCAGACCCTTTTCCAAATTGGGTGCAAACGCGAGCGCGTTCGCTATCGAGACGGTTCCCATTATTAATGCCTGTGCGACCCTAAACAATAATTGATCAATATACATCGTAACCTTTTTGGGTAACAGCGCCCTACTTGAAAACATCTCCGTAAGGCACATTTTCATTTTTAATAAGTTTTCCACCGTAGTACATGCAAGTGGCGTAGGCGAAAAACATAAGACCTCTGGAAAGACCGAGTATGGCGGACCTACCGTGAGTAGATTTACTGTTTTTGCGAATTTGCGGAACTAGCTCCGCTATATACAGCTGGTGGAAAATTTCCTCGCAGCTTAAAGATACCACCGTTCTTATGTTACTAATGGCTTCCACTGCAATCTAAATTGAGAGATAATTAATCGCCAACCAAAATAGAATGGAATGTTACGGTAGTACCTTGGTCGAAGACTGCAATGAATTTTTGAAATCGTCGTTATTGCCTTTCATATTTCTGCTTTGGAAAAACGTGGCCACGATTATGACAGGGAAAAATGATAACGCCACAAGACCCAATTTCCATTGATAATACATCGATAGCCCTAGTGATAACAATAATGTAGCGATGGAATTCATTATTATCCCAACTCTTTGACCGGTAGCCTAGGAAATATGAAACATCACTCCAGATCATGGAGTGAAAGTGGCTGAACCCAAACTTACGCCTTGCACTTGAGAGGCTTCAGTAGCGAGCTGGGAGCATAGAGCACCGACTCCATTTGATTTTCGGTCGAAATAACCAATTTCCTGCTTGAGCATAGCATCGAACATTTGGCTACGTATCCTTTGCGTTAATTTCTGACCGGCTACGCCAAACATATACATCTAAAATAAAGGATATGGATGCTCTATTTTAGCCCAACACCGAAAGTGATCTACCTGCAAAAAATTTGATACACCGGATAGAACTCCTATGGCTACAAAATATAAACAATATTGGGTGGTTCGTTGTCGCACGTAATCATCATCTGGATCTGAGATATCCTAAAATGAAAACAACTTTAGGGAAAGGTGAGGTAAGACGCAAGCTGATCTAACCTGCATTATGGTACCGAAAATGACCGCAAAAAGTGGCATAGCGCATCCCACTGACGCGGCACCTATACTACCAAGCAGCAAATAAAACCACTCTGGAGAGTTCATCCTGAGGAGTGACCAGATGGAACCTTTTTTTACGTACTCGTCATTGGCGTTTTCGGTTTCGTTGTCCTAAAAAATGTGTGAATCATTTTGCCGTCAAACTTTTAACAAACAAACAAATTCCAATTCTCATCAATTCCACAATCATTCACCAGTGTCTCACTTCTTGTATGTAGTGATTATCTTCTTCATCTTCATCCTCAACAACTACCGCTTTTCTGGTTTCTTTTGTCGTGCTTTCAATCACTTGGTTACTCTGCACTTGCGTCATCACTAAGGTATGGTATTCACCCTCGAGCTTCATCAGCTCGTCATGGCTACCTTGCTCAACCACTTTTCCTTGGGATAAGACGATAATTTTATCTGCGCCTCTAATAGTTGATAGCCTGTGCGCCACTATGATGGTGGTGCAGTGTTGACTGGCCTAAAATAGTCAATAGTAAATGTCATATTGCTTTATTATCGATAAAAGTTGTATTTACTGAATCAAGAGCTGCTTGCACCTTGGCTTCGCTATTCGTGTCCAACGCGGATGTAGCTTCATCTAACAGTAAAATTGACGGTGATTTTAATAAAGCTCTAGCAATGGCAATCCTCTGTTTTTGACCTCCCGAAAGCTGAGCACCTAAATAAATATCCACTGTCTATTTAATTTCACCTTGATCAACCTTACCTCTCTCTCCCACTAAGGTCTTGTATCCTTCTGGCAACATCTTGATAAAATTATGGGCGTTTGCCTTTTTGGCTGCGTTTATGATATCTTCCTCAGTTGCATCTCTATTACCGTAACGTATATTTTCCTCGATGGTTGTGCCAAATAACACGGGCTCTTGACTTACCACCCCGATCAAATTCCTGAACCACGTTAAATCCAAGTTTCTTATGTCCTGGCCATCTAGTAAAACCTGTTCGAATATTTTTTTATATATATTTATATAAGGTTTCTTAGCCAGATAATGATTGCAAGACTTACAGTTCCTCGATCTGGATCGTAGAACCTCTGGATTAGTTGCAAGACGGTTGACTTTCCACAGCCAGAGCTGCCTACTAAGGCAACTGTGTGACCGGCCTCAATATCTAGATCCAACTCTTTCAAAATCTGGAACAGCACGTAAGAAATTTCAAGGGAGACGTTTGCAATATAGCACACTTACGGTGACTTCTTTTCTCGACGGATACTGGAATGTAACACCTCTGAAACTTAAAGATCCTTTGAGATTTTCTATCTTTTGTCCGTTATTTTTGGACAAATTGATAGTTGGTAAGGAATCTATTATGTGAAACACTTTGCCTCCGGCCGATCGGGCTTGTGAGAATGCTTCGATGTAAGGGGAAGCCATTCCGAAACTCTGGCTACCGGTCATTACGCTGAAAAATACCTAAGAAGGTTTTGCATTTAAATAATAATGTTCTTAGTATGGCAGTACTTACAGTGATCATATTTCCAGGAGTATAAATCGGATCATCCCAACTCCGCTGCTTCAACATCAGCGTAATTCCGTACCAAAACGCCAATCCGTAACTAGAAAATATCATAAAAAACAGGAGCCCGAAGGAAGTGCCTTCCAAAAATGATCTCCGTATATTGTTGTTCTTGGCGTAGATTAGCTTTTCGTCGTATCTGAAAAAACCGTCCGTCGTAATGTACGTAAAGTATTGAAATCGTTGACACCGACCTCTGAGTTTCCTTTTTTTGACCGCCGAACGCAATGACGGTTCTTATCGACGTAAGAACTTCTTCGGCAATAGCGCCCGCCTCTCCGTAAGCATCTATTTCCTTTTTCGATACTTTCGTAATCAACTATAAGAAATAATATCGGGCTTAAAGTTACTGTTGGTGGTAATAAACAACTCACAAAAGATAGGCCGCCGATTATTATCAGGGTTACTGGTAAGGAGATTAAACATATCAGAGCCAACTCCCAGCCTCTTATGAGAGCCAGTATTAGAGACGCAAAGAAAGTAGCTTGTAGGGATACAAAAAGCGGGACTTTCTCGCCGATGCCTTCCTCAAATCTAGATAAATCTCTGCAAGAAGAAAGAAAAGCTCTCATGAGTTAAATTTTTATCTTCTCCCTTGTTTTTTTTGCTGCCTTACAAACTTGAATAGTCACACTTACTCCCCCATTCTACTAGCAAAATCACCGGACTGGTTCATGTCGTACCAAGTTATGTCTTTGTTCAAAAGCCTCTTTAAATACAGGGACCTCAGTTTAAAAACCTAAAAGAATAGGGCGATGATCCTAACTGCTATTTTCTTCATGACCTATGCAAGAGGCACTCACCTGCTTGATCGCAGTGTAGTTAAAGCACTGAGCTGATACGTAACCCAAAACAATAATCGCAGCTCCTATGTATAACATGTTAAGGGCAAAATTGTTGATGCCCTGGACAAAGTTGTCGGTGGCTTTTTCACATTCCTCGGGGCCGATCATACAACCTTGCGCGTAATCGATAATGGTCTGAGTAAGGTCTCCGAAGAACAAGGCGTTTAGTGGTTGAATAGCTCCGGTGGCTAATGCTGCCACCGTTCCGAGGGTAAGCAGCCATTTGTCCGGTTTTGAGGCGAATCTGTACTAAAGTCAGGTACGACTTATCAACGTGGTTTAAATTTTCGGATAGTCTGTATCTTGAGCACCTCTCACCCATTTGAAAACCAATTCACCCGATAGATACATTATTCGCATAGGATAAGAAAAGAAGAGGAAGAAGTTCTTGATGGTTGTTTCAATACATATTAAAGTTAAAGAGGTCTTTCAACATAAACGAAAATAGAAGAAGAATTAGCATTGCATATTGAGTTATGTGAGTGAATTTGTGAGAATTGTGGATGCGAATTTAGGCAATTATCATAAGTTACTTAAACTTACCAATCCAAAGAACGAAGAAGGCTGAACATCGTCTTCTTCAGTTTTGACAATGTTTCTATAAAAGAATATTTCATTCTAAATATTTTATCGAATTAAACGGACAAACCGCACAGACAATGTACACCCTAATTTCTTTTGATTTGAGAAAATCAATTGATGCCGTATTAGGGAGACACGAGAATGAAGAAATGCTTAATAAATTTAATCAGCCGCTTACTTCAGTTTAATGTAGTAAAACAAATAAAAATTTGGAAAGAAAAATTCCAAGTTTTGCTATGTACGAGTCCTAACAACTAATTGTTCGGACGATGTACGAAATAATAAGAAAACATTTTTATACTTAGTTTAAACTGATTCTTTTTGCCTTTTCGATTGAAAAATGAAATCACGCAATTATTTTTATACCAAAAAGTGCTATCGTAATGAATTATTTTTCACATAAATTACATAACAAAATATTAAAAACATACTGAATTTGCTGACAAATAAATATTCGGACGCATTTACTTTAAATCGAACATTAATCAGAAGTAACATCACCTTTCGCGGCAATAACAGCTTTTATGCCTTTTGGCATGGAATCTACCAAAGTTTTTCAATATTCGGGGGTGAAAGTGTTTCAAATTTCGGTGATTTTTGCCTTTAATGCTGGAACAAAGGATTGTTACGCAAAGTCTTTTTCATCCGATGCCATAAAGTTTCAATAATATTCAAGTCGGGGCTACGATAAAACTTTCATATTATGGTTCCCAAACCACTTTTTTGTTGTTTTCGCAGTATGGCAAGACGCACCGTCTTGTTGAAATATAAAATTTTCATTTCCAAAAGTTCGTTCTATTGATGGAATCAAACTTCTTAATAAAATTTGTTGGTATTTTTCTGCATTTACAGTACCATCAATGAACTCGTATTTGCCAACCCCTTTTACCCCTCATACACCCCCACATCATAACACCCTGGGGAAATTTTACCGTGCGCTTTAGACAATCTTTGTGAAAGGCTTCTGCTTTTGTACGAATCAACCTTTTTCGAAAATCGCCTACACACGCATCAAATTTGGATTCGTCGCTGAAGATAACGTTACTCTTCTGAACGTTTTTTCTTCTGAATAGACCTTAATAATGGTTTTTCCTTTGCCTTTAACAAAATAAATCATAGAATATTAATAATTTGTATATTGAAACAGGAAAAATTGTAAACTTACCTTATAAAAACTCAAACCATACTTATGCATCCATTGTCTATAACATTCCCTGGAGACATTTAAGTTAATACGACGATCTCTTTCAGTAATTTTACGGGGTCGGCCTGAACTTTTACCACGAACGCTAACACTAGCTGTCTCTCCATATTTTTTTATAATATCCCCGACTGTTGATTTTGCAATACTCAAGTCATTTCAAATTTTTTGCATTGATTTACCTCTGCAGTATTGAGATATGATAATTTCTCGCATTTTTTTGTTTGTTGCAACACCATGCGTCATTTTCTTATCAACTATTATACAGACTTGAAAGATACAACCCGAACTGCCATCTCATTTATCTAGGCACACTACATTTTACCATCAATGCATGGGTAGCATTGATTTCTTAGTCAATAAACATTCGCGTCCGAATATTTATTTGTCAGCAAATTTGGTATGTTTCCGTTATTTTGCCATGTAATTCATGAGAAATAAAAAATAATTCATCACGATAGCACTTTCTGTGCTATCGTAATGTGCGCAAATTGATTATTCAATCGACAAAGCAAAAAAAAATTTTAAATAGATATAAAAATGTCTTTTTTATCATTTTTTACATCGTCCGAACATTTAGTTGTTAGGGCTCGTAGTACAATATTCGTACTTTCTTGCACCACACAGCATATTTTTTTATTAATTTGATATAAGTTATAGTTGAATTTTTTATGCTAGGTTTACTTACGGCTCCAGTGGAGACTTCCCGTTTTTGACGCTGTTGTCACGCCCCATAGGTTTTTGTTATTCAAGACCAACGTCAATTAGTTTCAGGCACTGTAACTACGTAACTGTGGTTGTGGATTCAGATGGGAGCAGCGGAAGTCTGGCAAACCTGCTATCTATATTTAGGTTGGAAAAATAAGCAAGCTCGTTTCGCTATGGACGGCTATCATGTTTTTCTATTACAATACGCGATATTGATCGACCACGAGAAACAAGGTTATTATTTCAAGGGAAATTTTCAAATCGATAGAGCTCATTCGTATTTAAAGTTATTTGTAAATTTACACTTTTTACGAATGAATATGTGAACAAAATTCTGTATGTACACTAAAACAGGAACATTTATTTTTCTAATCATTCTAACCACTGTTTTAATGACACCTTACTAAAAATGATGATAAACAAAAATCCAAGGATAATCGATCGATTGGTCAAAAATTGCTTTATCATGTATTAAGATAAAACGGCGAATAATAAATAAAGGTGAATTCATGCTAAATTTCAATAGATGGTGTAATGCTAGAGGGCTCCTGGTTATTTTGAACTGGTCAGAATAAGTTGTGCATGTTTCAAAAAGTATTGCTGGGGCAGAAGATTATTATAAATCACGTCCGACAAAATGCTTACAAGAAAAGTATTCAAACTTTATCAACATTAATATTTAAATAAAATAACTATTATGAGAGTGCTTACTTGTAATGTCAAAAGTTCCAAAAGGAGTCAGTTACAAAAGACTTTTATGCTATTTCTTCAGCCAAATTGATTTGGACACGTTTATCGGCTCTGAGTACCTATTCACAACTAGTTGGAGGTTGCGAATTACTTTGTACTAAATGCGAAGCTGGATAATTGCAGAACACCATTAAACGATATCGAGATTAGATTACTCTACACTTTATATAAGCCATATACGAATATATAAATGGAATGTGCGGAACTCATTTGGCTACTATAAAGATTAAAAAAACAAAAAAAAAGCAGCTTGTTCTGTTAGAAAAGTGAGATATTGCGTTCTTGAAGTCGTTTTTTTTTTGGTTGACACGATTGATTCTACAAATACTGTTCTTTACTTAAAGAGACCCTGTATCTCCGAAACTAATTAATAATAATAGGAAAAATGATTTGTCCCCCATCGTCGGCATGTCACTACTTTTTCTTTATATATAAGAAGTTCATTTTATTTCTGCATTATTTTCGATAAGAGTTCGAACGATATAGGTTCTTGGTGTGGTGTCTGTTTTTACTTTTCATTATTTGCTTTCCATTTTTCTTTTTGTCTGTATCTCCACCTTTCGAATAAGAATGGGCTTCGTCCATATTTCATATATGGGTTATACTATGAACTCGAACGCAGCGAGATGGAGCGATATATTTACCTTTTGTTGGTTATTTGTACTTTAAAACAAAATTAGAATTTCAACGAACTATGCGTTGCCAAACGTAATGCGGAAGCGTAATTTGATTAGCATTCGCGAATAGTAAGGGTTCGTATGTTGTAGAAGAGTAGATAATTGTCTTGACTCAGTTGTATCTAGTAACTTATTACTAACTAATTGACAATTAAACTTGAGTTTTGAGGTTGAGGTTACTGTATATTCCTGGAATATTACAGGTATTTGCAATCACAAAGCTGCCCTCAAGAAGTTTGGGGCACAATTTGGAAAATACTTAATTATCAATTTTATCAATTTCATAAAGAAATAGACATTTATTCACATCTAGTGTTATCAGGCACTTGTTTTGTATATGTGTTCAGACGCCATTAGTTTCATATTGTATCTTATCCATATCTTATCAACCATGATCCTAGAACGTCGCATTGATCATTCATTCTAATAACTAGTTAATACATGTTATGCTAATTTAAACTGCTACTCTAAAAACATCATTATTTCACCTACTACAAACGCAGAAACAAACTTTAACGGTCGTTGTTAAAAAGATAATTAGATATTGTTGGGTCTAATTCCAATAACCGTGTAAAAACTAAATAAAAAAAATATATATATATATATATATATATATATATATATATATATATATATATATATATATATATATATATATATATATATATATATATATATATATATATATATATATATATATATATATATATATATATATATATATATATATATATGATGACACTATATTCCGGGATATCATCCGTTCGCTCGTTGAACTCCGACTGGAATCCTGCATCCGACTGGAATCCTGCAAATCTTGCATCCGACTGGAATCCTGCAGACGTTTCGCCAAAATCTCACTTGGCATCTTCAATGCTCGCGCTCCGAAAACACTTCGAACACTTCGGAGCGCGAGCATTGAAGATACCAAGTGAGATTTTGGCGAAACGTCTGCAGGATTCCAATTAATTAATTAATACTATCTCAGCATTGTGAGTAAAGCACCCTACGGTTTATAATTATAAACTTCAAATATTTTAAGATACGGATTGCTATCAGGCTATGTAACGTCTCCGACAGTCCACGTTTAGAGTATGCCTGAGTTATTTGGACACCACAACAAGTTAATAAGTTAATTGTGATATGATCTTCTATAATGCAATGTTGATTGAATTCAACATAACACAGGTTGAGTACCATAAAGACTATCCAGTTTATTTTATTCAGATAGTATATTTTGAATAACGCGAAGTCCAATGTCTGGTCATTTAATTCAAAGAATGTTCTGAAAATTTTGATTAGAAATACAAAACAATAGTATATTATGCAACAAGTGCGGTAAACGGAATTTGACTCACGAGTTTATTTGACACGAGCGGAGCGAGTTTTTAATAAACGAGTGAGTTAAAAAGTTTACCGAACGTATTGCGTACTATACTTTTTCTACGACCGTTAGTTTTTGGGTACAATTTCGCAAAACAACACTAATACATTCACTGACATGACCGTCAGAATTGACAAACGTCAAAATTGAAAGCGTAGGAAATATCTCCGAAAACATCCGATTGCTCCCAAATCCGTGTGGTAAAATCCCGGAAATGTCCGAACTGACTCGAATTCATGGGAAACGAAACTGACGTGGTAAAGTGACGCTTTCCGCATGCTAGATCAGTGGGTAATTAGGTATTTTACAGACGGGAATAGAAAAAAACTATTCTGTGATAATTTATTATGCCGTCCACTATATTGGTAAGAGAGTCTGAGTCTGATATAGGTTCATTTAATATAGTCTTGCGGTGGGAACTATCTTTTAAGTGCCAAAATGTGGTTTCACTAATTTTGGTTAGTTCGTGGTGTAGTCCTTTTTTGTGCAGTCCAAGTTCTTTGTAACTTAGCATGTATGTTTCTTTTGAATCCAGATTTATAAATCTATATCATTATTGTGTATTGTGTGCCGGTGTGTGCAGGGAATTAAAAAAAATGCAATGCTTGAGTTGTTCTTAGGTTGAGGTTGTTCAATAATAGCATAATTATTTAATTTTTAAGGTTTTATTCAATGTTTCGATCGCATTGTGCATATTTATCAAGGAACCTAAAATACATACAAATAAATACATAAGTTTATATATATATATATATATATATATATATATATATATATATATATATATATATATATATATATATATATATATATATATATTCTCACGTATTGATTCACGGATGGAAAAATGTGATGACACTATATTCCGGGATATCATCCGTTCGCTCGTTGAACTCCGACTGAAATCCTGCATCCGACTGGAATCCTGCAGACGTTTCGCCAAAATCTCACTTGGCATCTTCAATGCTCGCGCTCCGAAAACACTTTGAACACTGAGATTTTGGCGAAACGTCTGTAGGATTCCAGTCGGATGCAGGATTCCAGTCGGATTCGGAATATTATCGTTACTGATATTGGATAAAAAAACTCGAGTAGAATTACTTGCTGTCGAACATGGTCGCCTAAGACTCCGACAGATTTGGTACGACGACGGTTAAAAAGAGTATCGTCAAAAAATAATGTACCAGCTCGTGCTGCAAACCACTCATTAACTTGCTTGCTTACTTGAGAATTTAGAACCCTGCGTCCAATCATAACCCTGGGGGGCAGTTTGGAGCGAGTTCAATGTCGATTGCCCAGAATTATCCATTTACGTATAAGATTTTTGCATATATATATATATATATATATATATATATATATATATATATATATATATATATATATATATATATATATATATATATATATATATATATATATATATATATATATATATATATATATATATATATATATATATATATATATATTCTCACGTATTGATTCACGGATGGAAAAATGTGATGACACTATATTCCGGGATATCATCCATTCGCTCGTTGAACTCCGACTGGAATCCTGCCTCCGACTGGAATCCTGCAAATCTTGCATCCGACTGGAATCCTGCAGACGTTTCGCCAAAATCTCACTTGGTATCTTCAATGCTCGCGCTCCGAAGTGTTCGATGTGTTTTCGGAGCGCTAGCATTGAAGATGCCAAGTGAGATTTTGGCGAAACGTCTGCAGGATTCCAGTCGGATGCAAGATTTGCAGGATTCCAGTCGGATGCAGGATTCCAGTCGGATGCAGGATTCCAGTCGGAGTTCAACGAGCGAACGGATGATATCCCGGAATATAGTGTCATCACATTTTTCCATCCGTGAATCAATACGTGAGAATATATATATATATATATATATATATATATATATATATATATATATATATATATATATATATATATATATATATATATATATATATATATATATATATATATTCTCACGTATTGATTCACGGATGGAAAAATGTGATGACACTATATTCCGGGATATCATCCGTTCGCTCGTTGAACTCCGACTGGAATCCTGCATCCGACTGGAATCCTGCAAATCTTGCATCCGACTGGAATCCTGCAGACGTTTCGCCAAAATCTCACTTGGCATCTTCAATGCTCGCGCTCCGAAAACACTTCGAACACTGGGAGGTTATCGGCGGTGCGTGCGGTATTTATACTCTGCGCCGGAGATGGTAACGGTGCTGCTTGTGCGTGGGGGGAGGTGGCTCCGCCCCCTGAATTGTCGCGTTGTTAATTTCGCCCGATCGTAGTTGCGATGTCCCCGTTGGCTGCTGCGCATCGCTCTGCTGTTTGATTATCGTTCTCCACGTGTTGGATAAATGCAGAGCGTCGTCTCTCGTATTGAGGTGTCCGGACTTTTCTATTTCGATGGCCTCTCGTATAATCCTAGTCCTAAAATCAGGAATATTAGCTATTTGTTTGCAAGTGCCGAAATCAATTTTATGGCCTGTCTGATGTTGGTGCTGAAACAAAGCAGATGTTGTTTGTTTGTTTCTTATGGCTAAACGATGTTCCTCGAGCCTGGCTGAAATCCTTCTGTTGGTCTGTCCCACATACGTCAGGCTGCACGATCCGCATGCTACACTGTATACTCCTTGGTTTTCCAGAGTAATTTTTTGTTTTGGGTTTCTTAGTATTGCTCCGATGGTATGATCAGGTTTGTATGCCGTTGATATGTCGTGTTTCCGTAATATTCGGCCGATTTTGTCAGTAACCCCCTTGATGTATGGCAGGACAGCGATCGATCTTCGTTGGGTCTCGTCCTGCACTCTCTGCTGCGGCTGTTGTTGTTTACTGATTGCCTTGCTGATGGTGCGCCTTTGGTATCCGTTTTGTTGAAGACAGGTACTAATTTTCTTCAGTTCTTTATCTCTGTTCCTCTCGTTTGTGAGCCTGAAGGACCGAGCAATTAATGTATTTGCCACTGCCTGTATCTGTGATGGATGGTGATGAGATTTAGCGTTCAGATATCTATTAGTGTGTGTTGGTTTTCTATAGACAGTGTGTTCCAAGTGTCC